GCCTGGCACTGAGCTGCTTAAATCTTATCTGCTCCGTGTTCCAAGATGTCACTGTCTGGTGATATGAAGATGGATGGTCTGCCTGAAGAAGGGCGGCCTGTGCAGTAATGATGTGCTCCTTCCCTCTGCCAGCCAGCCCCCCCTCCTCCCTTCACTACCCAAGCATGTGTGAGCTCGCTCACACTCACTCACTCTCTCTCTCTCTCTCTCTCCCCCCTCTCTCTCCCCCCTCTCCTTCTCCCCCCTTCCCTCCCTCCCCCCTTCCTCTCTCTTACATCCCTCTCGTCTCCCCTCTTTTTTTCTCTCCCTCTATCTCTCCCCTCTCCTTCTCTTTCTTTCCTTCTCTCCCACACACCCCTGGAAATTTAAAATTGAGTCATCAAGAGGGGTCCCTGTATTCCAGGGAAGGCTGCCTTTTCCCTCTGAGAGCATGCCATTCATCTTCTGTGGAGTCCAGCGCAGCAGCCAGTGCCCATCTTCCCCTAGCTAGCTAGCTCTTCATCACCTAGACCTAGAAGAGCCTTGGGTGCATCTTCCTCTTTCTCCTCTCCTTGCCTGCCCATGGCACGCCCCCCCCCCACTGAGTTCCTTGGGACTCTTTAATGTCTATTTCAGACCTGGGTCCAGTAAACATCTAGCACTGTCAGAGCTGAAGGAAGTAGGTAGGTTAAATAGGACATGTTTTGTGGGCACTCGAGTTTTCCATGAGGCTGTTACTTTAAAAAAAAAAAGATAACACCTGGTTATGTTGCCCTATCCCAGTACCACCCTTACCCCAAGCTACCCGCCTCATAGACTACATACTGGAGCTGGAAGGAAAGTCCCTTAATGACCACCTAGTCCACACTCTAGTTTACTAATGCATCCTATCCTATGCACTGGCTAGGGTGGAATGCAAAAGAAGTATAAGCCATAGTCTCAGCCCATGTGGACTTCACAGACTAGCTGAGGAGATAGGATACCTAGGTGCATGCTTACATACATATAAAAAGTTAATTTGCAAAGTAATGATAACTAACATAGCATTAAAAGGTTTGCGATTTTTTGTTTTAAACAAAGAGCATCCCATTGATCCTCAAAACAACCCCCTGTGGAAGGTGCTTTTGTTATTCCCATATCACAGATGAGGAAACTGAGGCTGAGAGGTTAAATGATTTTGCCCAGGTCACCCAGTAAGCACCAGGCAGGATAAAACCCAAGGCTTCCTGACTCCAAGTCCAGAGTTCTCTCCACTGCTCCACCTAGCTGCCACAAGTTGGAAGGGATCCCTTCAGTCCATCATGGGAAACAAAACAAGCTCGTTATCTTCTCCTCCCTCCTTGGCCCTGCTCTTAGCTTCCCATAGCTTGTTGGCCAGGATGAGATCAGAGCTTCCATTTGGCTCAGGTCTCAAGACTCTTCTTCTGTTCAGTCTATCTAGAATTTCACAAACCTGTCTTTCCTTTCCTCTCCCTGAGTGGGTGACGGCAGAGGACCAGCCCTGCCCCTGAAGCCAGCCTTCCGCTGTTCCTGAGTGGCCTTCAGGCTCCAGAGAATCCAGATCTCTGGGTCCAGGTATCTACCTGGAGTCTTGACTGGGCAGCAGAAGCCTCAGCCACCAGTCAGCGACAAACTACCCAGTGAGCTGCCCCTAGCTTTGTCCCAGCGCCCAGAATCCCATCATGGTTTCCTCTCTCTCCTAACACTGTTAGTTGTAGTAGTAAAAACAGCTACTCACATGCCTGAAGTGCTTTGCAAACGTTACGTTGTTCGATCCAGCATCCCTGAGAGACAGGGCCAAGAGTATCACTGAGGTGCTGAAGTGAAGCGGGTTACCCTGTAGCACAGGAGTGAAATTCCAGAGCACCTGGAACCTGGTTCTCATGATCTCCAGATCCCAGGCTTTTCCCACTACACCGTTGTCTCTACAAGAGTTAAAAGTTGGGGCCCTAGAGTGAGGGGAAGGAAGAAAAGTGGAATTCAGCTACCTCTAGGTAGCCGAAAAAGTCCTGGGCCCAGATTAAAATCAGCTGAGACTCCAGGAGCTTGAGCACCTGCCCATCCAGGTACCAAGTATTTCTGTTTACCCATAGTGAGTGTTGGCAATGGGATGGGATGGTAGCGGTACTTTTCAGGCAAGAAAGGGATTGAATTTCATAGTGCAGCAGAATATTCACATGAACCTTCCCCAACGGTGTCTAGCTGCTGTTAGGAAGAAGGTTGAACACCTGTTTAGGTTACAGCCTAATAAATATTTTTCTAGAGTAGACCACTTAGAACAACTCTAGAACCCTACTACCAGGTAACCCCTTCCTTGATCCTAGGTGGAGGAGTTCTGCTTTCTTAGCCTTAGGGTGAATCTTTTTAGAGAAGAACAGCCAGTGAGAAGGGACTAAGGAAGAATCTTTTATTGTGCATTTCCTAAAATCCTTCTAATAATTAAGTCAACAGGTATGGTGCCTAGCACAAAACAGGTGTCCGTGCTCATTGACTTGACAGATATGTGAGTGAAGGCTTGAGAAGCAAACCAAACAGATGAGGACAGGGCATAGAAGGCCGATGGAAGGAAGGGCTTAAGTTTGGGTGTTTCTAGCTTTTCCCTTTTTGGGGGGGGGGGAGCTCGGCAGCGGGATTAAATGACTTGCCCAGGATCACACAGCTAGTGTTATGTGTCTGAGGCCAGATTTGAACTCAAGTCCTCCTGAATCCAGGACCAGAACTCTATCCACTGTGCCACCTAGCTGCCCTGAATTTGGGTGTTTCTGAAATGAGCCTCACACATTTTAGAAGGGACGTTGCCAAGCCAGAAAGCATCTAGGGAACACTGATGAAAATGGTTTGGAGATACAAAACTATTTCATATGACAGCCCATTCATAAAAGGTGTACTTTTACTGGGGGGTTATGATTCAGCTGTGTCCATGTTGGTTTGCCTGTAAGAGTCTGTCCCATCCCTATCAGGCAATCCTTAGTGTAGGAGGAAACAAATATCTCTAACTTCTAAAGCTTCTTCCTTCCAACAGCCCTATAAGATAGGTATTGCATCCTCATTTTGTGGAGGTGGCAACTAAAGGTCACTCAATGCCAGAGGATAGATCTAACACTCTTTCCACTGAAACATCCCCTATAGATATTGCTTTAAGTTAATATCAGATCTGGGTTGTGAAGATACTGAATCCTGCGAGTCATAGGAGCTGAATTCAAATTGTGGCTTATCATGGGTGAGGCAGGTAGTGAGTCCAAGGGTTCTTAAGCTAGGCTCTGGGAACCTCCTTGGAAAGATTTCTGGGAGTTGGAGAACTTGGCTGGGGAAAAAAAATGACATCATTGTCTTCACTAATCTCTTAACTGAAGTGGAGCCTGTCCGTCACTTATTGAGAAACCATACTGTGTTAAAAAGGGTCCGTGACACAAAAAACCAGATGTAGCCCAGCCCCCTTATTTTACAGGCCTCCGAGACCATCTGGTCCGACCCCTTATTTTACAAGAGAAGGAAACTGAGGCCAAAAAGAAGGCATAGATTTAGAATTGGAAGGGACCTTAAGAGGTCGTTTAGTACAACCCCAAATGAGGAAACAGACCTGGAAAAGAGAAAGGAGGTCAGCGGGTAGTAAACAGCAGAGACAGAATTTCAGTGCAAGGCAGACAGCGGATCCATCCTCTTAACAGGACACCAGGACGGTTCTAAAGAATCAGTCTAGACTGTACAACCCCTGTGTGTGCCAGCCCCACCTGCCCCCTACCCGTGTATGTAGAAACCCTGCCATCAGGTATTTATATGACTATTAAATACACTTCAGTAGGTGTCTTGGTTCCAGGTTCTCAGTCTCATAGCAGTTTTCTCTTTCTTAATATACTTTGGGTTGAATGGACCCAGGTCCCTAGGTCTCTGGTACCGTGAGTTCATAGCTTGTCTTCAACCTGGTGCTACTCAGTGAACCACACTGTCTCTTTTCCTCAGGGCCCCTGAGCCCCTGCATTTAATCTAGATGGTGACTCCCGGAAGTGGTGGAGGCCTTTGGTCCTTAAATCCCCGCCTGTTCTTCACCATTCTGAGTCCTTTGAAGTTGGTTTCTCTCTTTCCTGTTTCAGTCCAACCCTCTGCAGAATCTGCTGTTTCTGGCTGAGGCCTCTCTGGCAGCCAGGAGTGGAGGGGCTGGCTGCAGGGACCATGGGGTCCAGCCCTCCTCTCCCTCCTCTGTGTGTGTCTGTGTGTTAGAGTTACCAAATGAGCTGGATCAGCCAAGGCAGAGCAGCTGCTTTTGCAGCTGATACCAGGGCCACCCCAGGGACTGGCTGGTTGCAGACCGGCCTGTTCGACCCCAGTAGCAGTGCCAGCTTCCTGATGCCCCCTGTCTCTCTCTGTGTGGGCATCGGGACTGCCAGGATATCTGTAATGGCAACCAAGCAGCTGCTGTCACAGCTGATGCCTTGTGTCACTTTAGGGGCTGGCTGGGTTTGTATTGTGGAGGGCTCTTAAAGGCTTTTGGAGCAGGATATACGCCATGTTTCCTGACGTCGAGTTGAAAAGTTCATTTCCAGGAGCTGTGGGTACCCAGGGAGGCTTCAACCCTCTGGGTCTTGTTTCCGAAGTATATCCCTTTCCGTAATGCTTGTAGGACAGAGAGCATTACAATCCCAGCATGGAAATGACTGCTTTGGAAAGTTGCTTGATTGGGATGTGATTGTGTATATATGTGTGTGTGTGTGTGTGTGTGTGTGTGTGTGTGTGTGTGTGTGTGTGTGTGTGTGAGCGCTATAGTGTGATCACTTGTATTTGCTATTCATGCCCTGAATGGACATTATCACAAGAAAAGCCATTTTTGGACTGTGAGGTGCATTTGGGTTCTTAGGTTTCCTGAGGTTTGGATGTAAGGCTTCTCCAGAGAGGAGGCCTGGCAGTACACCCCTTGACCAGAGGATGCTGCTGAATGGCCTTCTCACCAGACCCATCTGGCTTCATTGTTTGTTCCAGGCCCCTTCCCCCTCTTCTGACTTGGCCCTGTTGTTTCTGTTTCGCAGCAAGAAGCAGGCTCTAGAAGTGGCAGCAGCAGAGACCGGCTGATCGTGGAGCCGCCCCTGGCTCAGGAGAAGGCAGCAGGGCCGGCCATCCCTTCCCACCTCCTGAGTTCTCCCTACCCCTTCAGCATCCCCCCCAGCTCTGTCGTTCAGGACTCCCGCTTCCCACCACTGAAGTGAGTGAACTGGCAGGTGATAGGGAAGAGATGGGGGCAGATCTCACTGGGACTGATTTTCCCTGGAAAATCTTTGGAACAGCCCCAGATGCTAAGGGCTTGGGACCAAGGCACTGTCCATTCTCTGTTCACTACACTCCCTGCCAGGGGTGAATGTGTCTGGAGTAGATTAAGGCGAGAGCCCTGGCAGATGGTCCCAAGCTTCCACCCCAGGAGGGGGCCCTGTTTGATCACAATCTGTGGTTGCTTTTCATTCACTTCCTTTTAAGAATCGCTCCCTTGCTGATTGACTTTGTCAGAGAACCTCCCATTCAGATGTTTGCAGCCAGAATTCCCCGGGTATCTGAGGTCCTTTGGTCTCAGCTCAGAAGTGGTAAGGACAGCCACATGTCAGTCACTTTACCCCGTGGCTCTCCTGGGGTACCCAGGGAGGCTGGTCTGGTCACCAAGGCCAAGGACAGGAGGGATAGCCCGAGGGGTGGCCCGCAGGACAGCTGTGACTCTGCCTTTACAGCAGCTGGTTCAGCTCCCAGCCCCAGGCCTCCTCCCTAAAGAGCAGTATCTCATTAGAGCTTCTTCCCTCCCGGCGATGAAAGAGCAGCAGCAGCCAGCCCTCCTGAGTGAACCAGAAGAGAGGAGAGCAGATAGGTTAATGAATTTCCTAGACTAGAAAAACAACTTTCTGCTAACCTCTGCTGCCCCTCTTGTCTCATCATCTCCCCAGCAGCCTCCAGCGCCCTGTACATCATGTGGTCCCCCCCAGCACCGTCACTGAGGACTATCTGCGGAGCTTCCGACCTTATCACACGACGGAAGATCTCCGCATGTCCTCACTGCCGCCCATTAGCCTCGATCCAGCCACTGCTGCTGCCTATTACCACCCCAGCTACCTGGCCCCTCATCCCTTCCCACACCCCGCCTTCAGGTAAGAAGATGGCAGCCAGGGAAGGTAGAGGAGAAGCCTCCTTTCCTGCTCCTCTTCACTCACTCATGGGCCAACCACGAATCTTTGTTGAGCGTTACTGATGTCGAAATCACCATGAGGCTGCCCAAAAATCTGGCTGGATTCTCCCCTTTATCCTGGTTCTCCAGGTGTTTTTGGTTTTGTTCTGTTTTCATGATGAGAGGACTTTTCCAGGATGGTCATAACCCAAAGCAGGATTTAAAACTAATCCTGTTTTAGCCATTGCTAGTGTCCCGGGGTAAATCTGGTATAGAAGCCTTACGTTTTAGGGACCTCTCAAGGTATCAGCAATAAGTAATAGGTAAGATTCCAATTTACTTACATCATTAGAAGGTAAGTTCCTGAAGGTCAGGGATTCTTGCTTACATGTTTATCCTAAGCACTTAGCACGGGACCTAGCATGCAGTAGATGTTTAATAAATACTTTCAGATCATAGGCAGTGAATTCGTTGAGAATCTCATCTCCATTCTAACCTGATGCCTATGTAAATTATACTATACTCTATACTATAAAGTATTGTGTAATTAGGATACTATACTATATACCATAAAGTAATAGGATTGCATCTTTGACCCCAGAGCTAAGGTGACTGTTAATCTGGGCCTTCTGTTTGGATCATTGTGCTTTGACGAAGATCACACACATATTGATTTGACTTTCTGTTTTCTGTAATGCATGGCTATTCAGTCAGAGGTCAGCTGTGTCCACCCTTTGAGCAGGAAGGTGGGAATGGTCAGTATAGTTGAAGGTACTCTCGGTTGCCCTTGACAGACCAGCTTTCCCAAATCTCAGGTCTGTAACTCAGACCTGTGGCTGGCCAAGGGTCTTATTTCTGTACTGGGTCGCTTCCACTGGAATCTGTGGCCCATATCTCAGTAGCCCAGAGGCAGTGTCCTCTGTCCTCAAGAGAATGAGCCCTCACCTCTTCCTGGGAGTTGACCCACCCAGCTTAGGTGGTACTTTTCTCATTTACTCTTTGACCTTAATAATATTAATGCCCTTTCCATATCATAACTTTTCCCTGGACACAGGAAACTTCTTTCCTAAACTGCCTTAAGAGTCCCTGAAACAGAAGCTCTTAACCTGGGGTGCATGGACCAGTTTTAGGTGGTCTTCCATGAACTTGAATAGAGGGGGGAAAGTTTACATATTTTCATTCACCTTTGGTGTCCCTTGTCATATTATAATTTATTTTCTGCATTATTCTAAGACTGGGTCCATAATCTTCCCCAGACTGCCAGAGGAGTCCATGATACAAATATAGATAAGAACCTTTGCTATAAACAAAAATCACTCTGGATATAAAATATATTTGTCTTCTCTGAAGTTCCCTGGTTATGGCTGCCCAAGATTGAGTCAAGGTCTCACCCCTGAGTGGTACCATCCATTGTGTGATGCTGACTCTGTTCTTTCCCCTCCCCAGGGTGGATGATTCCTACTGCCTTTCAGCGCTGCGGTCCCCCTTCTACCCGATCCCAACCCCCGGCTCGTTGCCTCCTTTACACCCGTCAGCTATGCACCTCCACCTGTCAGGGGTTAGGTACCCTGCGGAGCTCTCTCACTCATCCTCTCAGCACTGCAGACAGAGCGGATGTCAAGCCTCACTGCAGAGAGGTAAAGTCTGTTCTATTGTGGGAACGTCATTTTTGTGGGAAGAAGAGCATCACACGTAGAGCTGTGTCTGTATCTATCTCAGGACATCTTATACCAGGGCTTCTTAACCTGGGCTCCATTGATTTGATGTTTCTTTTTTTTTCTTTTCCTTTTTTTTTTTTTAGAAAATATTTGGCTAGGTGGATTTCTTTCTTTTTTTTAGATACTATTTCCCCCAAATTATATGTAAAGACAATTTTTAACATTCATTTTTAAATAGTTTTGAGTTCCAAGTTTTCTCCCTCCCTACCTCACATCCCCCTCCCGGAGATAAGCAATTTGATATGGGTTATACATGTATAATCATGTAAAACATATTTCCATATTAGTCCTGTTGTAGAAGAAAGCACAGACCAAAAGAAAAATGCGCGTGCGAAAGTGAAAAAAGTATGCTTAGATCTGCATTCAGACTCCTATCAGTTTTTTCTCTGGATGTGTATAGCATTTTTCATCATGAGTCCTTTGGAATTCTTAGATCATTATATTGTTAAGAATAGCTAAGTCATTCACAGTTGATCATTGTACAGTGTTGCTGTTACTATATACAGTGTTCTACTGGTTCTGCTCAGTTCATTTTGCATCAGTTTTCCAGGTCTTTCTGCAATCATTTCTTACAGCACAATATGCTAGGTGTATTTCAATATAGCTTGTTTCCTTTGTAAACCTATGGTTTTAAATTTTATTTTATGCTTTTAAAAACATTAGCCTGAGGACAGTTCCATAGCATTCACTAGACTGTTGAAGGGGACCGTGTTTTATATAGAAAGATCTTCGATCCATCATCATTGCGTGGGTCCTCATTCTGCCATGGTCAGTCCTACCCTCCCCAGGTCTCACCAATCCTAGGCAGGTCTTGTCCATGTTTTTCCATAAATCTTCCATTGAGAATTTGCTCAATGGCCCAGAGACCTTTTTCCAATTCTTTCACTGTCGTGTGAACGCTGTCTTTGGGTCAGGAATCACCTGAGTGTCTTTCCCATTCATCCATGATGTCCTTTGATACCAATTTAAATTTCTATATCATTTTCATAGAAATCCCAGTTTTACCAAATAGAAATTATTGATTCCAAAAGAGTGCTTGAATTATATATACGTACATGTCATACATACACATATACAGATATATACGTCTATTGCAAATTCACATACAGAGCTTCTTTTCATTAAGTTCTTGGGATAACTTGCCAATTTCTAGGTGGTGGTTTTTTTTCTGGAATACTCTGTTTTTATGGATGACCTTTGTGTCCACTTATTTTTTTTTCATCATTCCTCCTTTTCAGGTTACAGATGGATGAAGAGCTGAGACGGGAGAGGGAACGGGAGAGAGAACGAGAGAGGGAACGGGAAAAGGAGAGAGAACGAGAAGCTGATCGGGAGAGAGAGAAGGAGCGGGAAAGGGAGAGAGAACGGGAAAAAGAACTGGAAAGAGAGCGGGAGAAGGAGAGGGAGCGGGAAAGAGAAAAGGAACTGGAGAGACAACGTGAGCGAGCCCGAGAGAAGGAGCTGATGGTCAAGACCATGGAGAATCAGTTCCTGCCAGTGTCCGAGCTGCATGGGCTACGGGTCCTTCCAGGAGAGGATCGGGTGAAACCTCCAGAGCAACTCACACCAAACAGACCAGGTGACTATGGCCCCAAAGCCTTGGCCTGGCCTCCAGGTCGGCTCTGGGAGGTAGATGCATGGGCCATTGTGAAGGTAAATGGACTGTTTAGATGCCGCAGAATGGACTTGATTAGCTCTTGGCTGTGGAGGAATTTTAGAGATGACCCAAAGGCTCTTTTGGAGTCTGTGGTAGAATGCCTTTAGTCTAACCTTGTTGAGGTATAAACTCCTAGTGTAGAAATTCCTTCTATCGATACAGCGTAGCTACTGGTCTTGAGAGCTGCCTGGGGCCACTGAGAAGATCATCAGTTTGGTGTGGTTGGTTGTCCAAGGCAGGACTTTCCACCCCAGGTTTCCTTGTTTCCCAAGACTGCCTTTCCAGTCCCTATACCATACTGTCTCAATAAGGGTGGAATATACTACTTGTAAAATTCGCATGGCTAAAATTATTCCACTCGTATTCTCTTGTTTCTAGTCAACAGAATAGGCCCCTGGCAAAGGAAATCAAGTAAAATAACATCTTTGGTTAGTTAAAGGTGAAGTAGGGGGGAATGAGGAAGAGGAAGACTGAGCAAACTCAGGTGTCAGATCCTTAATACATTCCTGTGATGATTCTTCCTCCCCCTGCAGAGAAACTCAAGGAGCCTGCCCTGCAGACCCCCAAGGCTGTCCAGCACCCCTTACACCCGCCTCCTGCCTCCCATCACCCAGTGCCCAGCCTCATCTCCAACCATAGCATCTTCCCCCTGCCCGGGAGCAGTGCAGCCACGGCCCTGCTGATCCAGCGCACGAATGAGGAAGAGAAGTGGCTGGCTCGCCAAAGGAGACTTCGGCAAGAGAAGGAAGACCGGCAGTCCCAAGTGTCAGAGTTCCGACAGCAGGTCTTGGAGCAGCATCTTGACATCAGCCGCCCCCCAGCTCCAGCAGAGCCCGAACATAGGCCTGAGAACCCCAGGTACCACCTGCGGGCAGTGTTGGGAATGCCCAAGGCCAACATTCAGGCCCAGAGAATCTGGGGCAGGGGTGGGGGTGGGGGCTCCAAGCAAGGCTTTGTAACCTCTGACAGCTGCTCTGTTCATGTGGTCAAACTCTGGCCCTGCTTTTGAGGGATTCTCTAGATTGGACTTCTTAATCTGGGCTCCATGAACTTTTTTTTTTAAATAACTGTTTCAATATAATTGTATTCCCTCCTACCTATCCTTATGAGTTTAAAAACATGATTTTGAGAAAAACACGATTTCCACCAGACATCCGCAGAGGTTCATGAGACCAGAAAATTGAGAAGCCTTGCTCAGGAGGACACTGGGTATCCAACCATTTCCATCAGGGAGTATGATGGAACTGCCTGTCTACCACATAATTCACCACAGAGCCACCTGCCTGGTGCTGATTCCCGTCCTTCGGGGAGGGGGGGATTGATATTAATGTTGTACAGTTGTGTCTGACTTTTCATGACTCCTTTTGGAGTTTTCTTGACAAAAGTGCTGGAGTGGTTTGTCATTTCCTTCACCAGCTTATTTTACAAATGAGGAAACTGAGGCAAACGAGGTTAAGTGACTTGCCCGGGGTCACACAGCTAGTAAGTGTCTGAGGCCAGATTTGAACTCAGGGACATGGGTCTTCCTGACTCCATGCCTGGCACTCTATCCACTGTACCACCTGGCTACCCTTGATATTACTAGTTAGCATTTAAGTAGTACTTTACAAATGTTTTATTTAGCCCTTATAACAACCCTGTGAGGGAGGTGCTGTTATCTTACCACTTCACAGATGGGGGAAACTGAGGCTGAGAGTGACTTGTCTTGGGTCTTACAGCTAATCCTGTCTAAGGCAGGATTCGAACTCAGATCTTTGACTCCAACACCAGCACTGTATCCTAGTTAGTATTTTAGCCCTAAAGAGGAAGAGTACCTAAACTGTTGTCACCTGTTCCTAGGACTCTCCAGCTAGGTCTGGTATGGGGAAGGTGGAAACTTGAGTTGGGGGGGGTCCCTGATCTCAGTCAGCCTGAGCTACCATCCTCTCCCCTTCTACTGCTCTTAGGGAGTTCCTGGCAATTGATAATGAAGGCTCTCCACTCTGACTACTTTTAATAGGCTTCGTAATTCTCTGGCTTTAAGGAAGGTTCATAAAGTTTTCTGCCCAAAACAGCCCTGTGAGGGAGGCTAATGCTGTGATTATTAGCTTCTTTCTACTGAAAAGGAAACGGCCTCAAAGATATTAAGGGGGTCCCACGGGTCATAGGTGTCAGAGCTAGAGCACAATCCCCAGGTCAGGGGTCGGACTTCAGGTCTCTCAGATCTCCCTCGCCCCAGCACCAAACTGACTCTGTGATTCAGACTGCCACTTTCCAGTCCTCGACTTTTACCGAGAGCTAAATTTACAGCTTCCGTAGATGAGTGGGAACGCTGACCTTCCCTTTGGAAGCCTGGAGGTATAAAAGCTAGCGTCACATACACAGTAAAATGGCTGTGGAAGGGGAACACACTTGGCCATTAGGAGCCCCAGGCTCTGAGGTTTGCCTCTGCTCCCTCGCTGTATGTCACCTTGCATAAATCACTTCTTTCTAAGCCTCAGTTTCTTCATCTCAGAAAACGAGGGGGTGGAATGAGCTAATCTTTAAAGATTGATTCCATCTTGAAAATATTCTAAATCCAGCTGAAGGGGCCTCTGTATCTTTAAATCCAACCTGATTTTGTTATCTTCTCTCTCCACACCCCTCCTCCCCCCAGTCCCCCTTTTCTTCTTCCTTCAGCGTTTTGGCTCATTGACAGAGCCCTCTTTGCTCCGCTGCTGAGTGCTTAAACAGGGCTGTGCATCGAGGCAGCTCTGCCCTTGGATTCTATTGTTATTTTGGGGCAGCAAGGGGATTAGTTAAAGTAATCAGGTATAATAGGAAACGGATTTCAGGCCTACCCAACAATAGCAGATCCTCCCTCCAGCCTTCCACTCTTGTGGAATTATTTCATTCTCTCCCTCTGACGGCCCCTGAAAAGCTCAAAGGTCGAGGTCACCTCTGCTCTATGCACTGGAGAGATGAGGGCCTGGGCAGAGGTGGGGAGGGGAGACTGGTGCCTAGCCTGGACCCTCTAGTTAGTTCCATGTTTCTTTCATCCCGCATCCCCTCCCAGAGATGGAAGCTTACGTAAGACTCTCCCATATAGAAACCTGTAACTCATCTGTTTATGAAGGAGCCCTTTGGCCTTTGGAGATGACTCATACTTGGAGGATTGAGATATCAGCCTCGTTAATATCCATCCTTTTGGAGGAAACCTGTAGGCTGTCTTTGTCTCTCAACTGGGCTTTCCTTCTCCTCACCCCCTCCACCCCTCCTTAAAAGATCCATTAAAGCTTCTCAGCCAGCCACCTATTCTGTTAATGGAAGCCCATTGATAGGGCATTGCCGGTCTAAGATACGAAGGCCTCTCCAGCTGGACCAGTGCGTGAGGAAAGGGTGGTCCATGGGAGGGGGGAAGGAGGAGGAAAAAGGGGTGCCACTCCTAAACCTTGTGTGGTTCCCTTGGCATCTTGGATTCCGAGGTCAGCAGTGATCTGAACTCGATGTTCTGACATGTGGAGGGCTTGTTCTCTGAGCCGGAAAACTGTTAAATGCTTGGCGCTGGTGCATGAAATATTTATTCTGCTAACGGGTTTTTATTCCTTGGCCGTTTACTGAAGAACAAACAGTTTCACGGTATCGTTCCCTTTTGTACTTGGGTGATCTAGGAGCTAGGTTTTATGTTTGTCTTTTTAACCCCAAGTCAGCCCAGTATTAAGGGCAGGAGGTGGCTTTTGTGTTTGCCTCAAGGGCAGTCCCCCATCTTTGCCAAACGTCTGGGCATTGGCTGCCATACTGGTCTTTCCAGAACCTGCAGGGGAGGGAGATGAGGGTTACCCCCTTTCCTGCCTGTCTAATGATGTCCTGGGCACAGATTGCCCTCACAACATGGAGATGAGGATCCAGACATACCTTACTTCATACAACAGCCTTGCCCCTAGAGGAGGGGAGTAAAACTCCAAAGTCTGTGAATTAAGTCATTTCCAAATGACTTAATTAGGGGGGAGCTGGCTATTGAAAGGATTCCTGTGGCAGATCATCTTGTAAATTGCAGAATCTTTTATTGATGAAAGAGCTTCCTCCCTTCCTGATTTCTCTTTTGTGTGTGTTGTAATTCTCCTACTTTGCCTTTGCTTAACACTGAAAACAAACCTGTGGTAAGTAGATACTCCACCTGACCTCGGGTCAAGCTATCCTAACCTAGTAACCTATAGTCCAAAGAACAGGCCAAGTAACCAAGGGCCTTTGAAGGACATTTGAGGCAGCCTGGTACAGAAGTCCTCAGCTGGGGTGGGTCCTGGCTTGGGCACACGGCGGGTTGTTTGTTAGAATGGGATGAGATAATGTATGTAAAACATTTCTAAGGGATCTGCATAAAAACATTCCCCTGTGACCAGTGGCTTTGTGAGGCTAATGCTGTTTTCCCAGCACCCACTGGGTGTCAGCGTAGCTAAAGACATATCCCATCCTAGGTACCTTTAACCCAGTAGACCCTGGGGTTCTGAATGGTAGTTGAATCCTCATCTCCTTCTCAAATGCTCTCTTCAGACCAACAGTTTATAAGTGGGACATTCAGCTGCCAATAGGAGAAGACAAAAATGAGTAATTATTGTTGTTTCCTCATAAGACCATAGAATTAAAGATAGAAGGATCCTAGAGGTCATGTCATCCAGCTCTATAATTTTATAGATGAGGAAATTGAGACCCACAGAGGTTAAGTGACCCAGGGCCTCATTAGGTAATAAAGGGTCCAGGCAAGATTTGAACCCAGGTCCTGTGACTTTTCTTTTCTCTGTACTACATGACCCTGTTATGATGAGATGCCACCTGTCTTCGACAGCCCTCAGAGGACTTCACAAACGTTTCTCAGAACAAGTGAGGAAATAGATGGTTTTACATTTTTATTTTGAGAAAGAAGAGGCCTCACTGGGGAGATTGCCTGTCCACAGATCAAAGGCCTACAAATTTGCACTCAGAAAGCATCCTAACAATCCTTTGAAGTGCAGGTATTATCCCCAGTGTAGATAGGAAAGCCAAGGCTGTAAATGGAGAAGTGACTTCTCCAAGGTTTCACTGTCAGGACTGAAGCCCACATCCTCTGATACCAGGTTCTGGGCTCTCTCAACAAGGCCCCGCTTCCTTTCTTGAGATATAGTTGGGAATGGAATCATGTTGAGAAACTGGTGTGGGTTAATGGAAAGAGCTCAGTCCATACTGGGAATTGGGAATCACTGGCCTCAGCTACATGATCTTAGCTAAGTCACTTCTTTCTTCTGGACTTCTTCTCTCCTGTGTGAAAATAGGAAACTGGAGTTAGGTGATCTTCAAAGTTTCCGTCAACTCCAAAACTCTGGATATTGGCTCAAATTGTCAGGTGTTTTAGCAAACATCCGCCTGAGCTCCCATGAACAGCCCAGGGAGGTAGGGTAGGCATGTAGGTGACGGTCAGGGTGTGTTTGATTTCTGCTCACACGGTACTTATATTTCTTACGGGTCACTCTGTTCTCTCCCCAGACCGGGACCAAATCGACATGAGCCAAGCAACCGAGACCAGCCACAGCACTTTGGAGGGCCCCCGCCCCTCATCTCCCCCAAACCTCAGCACCATCCCATGCCAACCTCACTCTGGAATCCAGTAACCTTGATGGAAAACACCCTAGAACCACGAAGGGTACAAGAAAACCATTCTCTCCATACCCACTCAGCTCCGTTTGAGCCCAGCCGACAAGCCATCCCCTTGGTTAAGGTAGAACGAGTTTTCTGCCCTGAGAAGCTTGAAGAGGGGACTAGGAAGAGGGAGGCAAGCCTGGACAAATACCACCCACTCAGGGAGGCTGGGCCCTTGGAACACAGTGGGTATGCTCACGGGCCCTTCTTGGCTGAACTGGAGAAGTCCACTCAGACCATCCTCAGCCAGCAGAGAGCAGCTCTCCCCCAGCCTGGACAGTTCCCTGACGTGAGCCTGCCCCCAAAGCCCAGCTCTCCATATCGGCCCCAGCTCCCCAGAGGTCCTGACCCCATGTATGTTTACGATGAGTTCTTACAGCAGCATCGGAAGCTGGTCAGCAAACTGGACCTGGAGGAGCGCAGGCGGCGGGAAGCCCAGGAGAAAGGTCAGTTCCCTTTGTAGCCCCTTTCACCTCTGATTCTGGATCCAGAGCCGGAAATAGGGGCTCTTGTTGCCCCAGATCAGCCTGTTGAAAGACAGATAATTGGACAAGGGGGTGGGGGATGGAGGGGAAACCACGTAGGGTTTTAATAAGCCCCAAGTAGGGAGTTCACGTGGCTTCTCTGTAGCTGATTGACACCTCTGAATAGACAGACCCATGGAACCTTTCTGGCCCATCCTCTATGCAGATTGTGTTGAAAGCCAAATCAAAGCCTATCTGTAAATCCTGTTCTGCAGACATGCACAATTAATAAATGATGAACTGAGGCTAATAAGATGGTTTTAAATATTAATAGTCCTACATAATAGGAGGATACAACCACCAGGGGGAGGGCCCTTCGAGCAGTGGGGGCTCTGGGCCACCATGACAAACGGCAGAAGCCCTGCAGTGGCGATATCCTTCATTCCTAAAGCCCACCTGGCTCCCCCTCCCATCCGACTGTCGCCACAGGGCTCATTCCCTATGTTGCCTTCAGCTCCTTCTGTAGGGTTGGGGCCGTCTTGGCTGCTGTCTCTGTTCCCCCCAAAGAGCCAAGAGGAACAGTGAGCGGGAAGGAGCCAAGGGCTGGAGCCTCGGGGCCTTCAGGATACGCTCTGCTGGGAGCTGGCTGGGTGCACCTGCACAGCTGGTCTGACCAGAAGGAAGCAGGCCCCAGAATTCTGCTGTCTCAGCCAGCTTGTCGCTGTCATCATCACAGGGAGCTTGGTGTTCACTGCTCTCAAATGAGGAGAGCGCCAGGGGAGGGAGTGTTAGCACTAGAGTGGGAGTCACTGGACCTTGTTTGAATCCAAGTTGTGAGACTTGTTAACCTCAGAGATGTTAAGCAGATCTAGTCAAGTCAGCTAGCTTTTATTAAACACATACAACACACCAGGCATTGTGCTGAGTGCTAGGAACGATCCCTGTCTTCTAGAAGTTTACAGCTAAAAAGAAAATGAAAAGAGGGTGGTGTGGGGTGAGGGAGACTACAAAAGGTGTTCGTGGTGGGGGCATGGTAAAGGAAGTCCAGGGGAAAGCCCTCAAAGGACAGGAAGTGGCCCACCTGCTCCTTTCCCTCTTCAAGTAGAGGTTCTGGGAGGAGTCATCCAATCACAAGTCGAGCCACAGGGGTGGAGGGTTCTGAGCTTCCAGGAGAAAGAGGTTTCTGAAGAAGTCAGGAATAGAGTAGGCATTGGGTCACAGATTTAGAGCTGGGGACCTCAGGTTACCTAGTTGAACTCAGTTTATAGACCTCCGAGAAGGAGACACTGAAGGCAGTGTCTTCCTTGCAATGATCTGAAGGGTCACTTCCTGTTGTAAATCATGGGATCCTTTAGTAGACCTTTGTTTTGTTTCTAAACCACTGAGTTATTCTTTTAGACTACTTTAAAGAAGTAGAGGAGGTTCTGAGTTTGGAAGAAAGCTGTTTGGGCTGGGCTGGGTTAAGGGATGTTAGGGAGCAAGAGGAAAGAGAAATAGATGACAAGAGCTTGAAAGGACCGGGCAGTCCTCTGGTTGGCTTTGAATGCCAGGGTGAGGGATTTGGACATGGTGCTTGGAGGGGCCCCAGAGCTCCCCAGGTATTAATCTTCTTACCCTTTTTTGTGCCATAGACACTGTTGTCAGTCTGGTAGAATAGCCTGTGGCCCCCTGTAAATCATGGCTTTAAATGCATGGAAGACAGTCATTGAAATGTAGTTATCAAGTTTCTGGTTTTGTGTTTTTAACAAAACAAGTTCCCAGACCCCAGGTTAAGCACCCCTACTCTTCATGAAATATGTGACATGCCTAGAAAATATAGTATACATTATTCAAGTACCAACTAAGACATCTCAATGAGATGGCCATGAGGACTGAATTCTGCCCCTGCTACTGAGCTGAATGGCCTTGGGCAAGTCACTGTCTTTAATGGGTTCAGTTTCCTCCTGTAAAATGAGGGGATTGAATAGTCACTTATGGTCCCTTCCAGTTCTGACCTTTTGCAGTTCCATAGTTAGAGAATATAATTCCCGGTACACTGGGCACTCTGGATGTGAATCTTACAGTCATAACCTAGAGACCAGAAAAGTGCCTGCCCAATAACTGTGAGTCAATTAGTGCGTCTGATTTCTCAATTCAGAGGCAACAAGAGTTCCTAACACACACACACACACACACACACACACACACACACACACACACACACACACACACACACACACACACACACGTACGTGTGTTTGTTCCTGATGTCCTCCCAGACTCCTATGTGACTAAAGAGTGGAAAAACAGGCTGGATCTGAAATCAGAGGACTTGGGTTCGGCAGATTCCTACCATTGTGGCCTTAGGCCAGTCACTTAACCTCTGTGGGCCTCATTTTACCCATATGAAAAATCAAGGGCTTTCACTAGATGAATTTCAAGGTTCTTTTCCTGTTTTAAACGTATGACTCTACACTTATGTGCCTCATTTATTTCAGTCCTAGCAAGCTGCCAGACACATAGTAGACACTTGGTAAATCTTCACTCCTTGATTGATTTCAGGCTACTACTATGACCTTGATGACTCTTACGATGAGAGTGATGAAGAAGAAGTCCGGGCCCACCTTCGATGTGTTGCTGAGCAGCCGCCCCTCAAGCTGGACACGTCCTCTGAGGTATTTTGGCTCCACTGTTCTCATGTGAATGTCCCAAAGGCTTTGAATAAGGTCGTTAGCCGGATGCTGGTATTTTGCTAAGTTTTCTTTCAACCCTTATCTACCGGTGAGCTTGGGTCTGCTCTGTAACACTCTTCCACCTGAAATCCATCTGTTGGTCTGAACGCTGGAAACCCCCGCCGCCATTTTAATGGCAGCACAGTGAAGTGAACCCTGGACTTGGAATCCAAAGACATGGGTCAGGGTCCTTCCTAGATAAGGGATCTTGGTCCTCTTGCCTTTTCGGGGGCTTCCTCTGCTGAATGAAGGACGTGATGAGCAGCTTCTGCAGTCATTTCCTTGTGTGCTTGTGCCCCTGTGAGTCTATGCCCCAGTCTTCTGGCCTCTTCCACCATTGTTACTTCATCCTTTATCCAGAAGGAAAATGCCATCAGAAGGACAGTGAGGAAACCCAGGGACATTTCCCATTTACCAGAGAGAGAGGTTTTTGTGACCCACTGAGGTTGGGAAATACTAACACTTGTGCAGTGAAAAGGCCTTCGAGGTGGGAGTAAATTTGTTATTGAATAAAAACAAGCTCCATCAAACCTCAGATCTGTTACTGGGTCTTTCCTCCCTCTTATCTAACCTCTGGCAGTGTTCTAGCTTTCAGAACTCAACAGAAGAGGGAAACAGGTGAAGGGTTTGTGCCAAGCAGAGGAGGCCCCCCCCAGATTAGGAATTGTACAGTCTCACATCCCACGGATGTGTGATTTTGAGGGAGAGGATGGGAGACGTGAAACCAGTCAATTCCTCTTGGTGCAGAAGAACACAACCATGGGGGGTTGGACCAACATAGTGGATGTGACTTAGCATAGAAGCCCAGGCTCGCCCATAGAGTCTCGTTCTGACACTGACCATGCCCTTGGGGTAAGCAGATTGAGATCTGTGCAAGGCATCCAAATCCCAACACAGTTCTCTTTTTTTGTTGTTTTTTGGTTTTTGCTAGGCAGTGGGGTTAAGTGACTTGCCCAAGGTCACACAGCTAGTAAGTGTCAAGTTGTCTGAGGCCGGATTTGAACTCAGGTTCTCCTGACTCCAGGATCGGTGCTCTATCCACTATGCCACCTAACTGCCCCTCCAGCACAGTTCTAGAGTGGATTTCCTGCTGCCTAGCCCACAAGAGCAGCCCTTTGGATCTCTAGCTTTCTCTCCCAGTGGTGGTATTTGTAGTGGTTCTCAGAAGGCCAGGGCTCTGAGCAGACAACCCAGTCTGATCCAGCAGGCTTTCTGGAAGGGCTCATAATGTGCAAGGTGTTCTTCTAGCCAGTGCCATGCAAAGACAAAATGAAACAGTCTCTGCCCTCAGGTAGCTTCTGTACTCGGGGGTCAAGGTGAAAATCAGGACTGCTTTCCCGGAAGAGGTGGCATGTGAGCTGATTGTAGAAGAGAGCTAAGGCTTCCGAGCCCCCCCACATCCCACCTCCCCTAGGAGGTGGTAACCTCTCCCCTGTCTGTTACCTGATGTATAGTGGAGTTGGCCTGGGCTTCTCCCATAGGCTATAATCCAATTTTCTTGAGGAAACAATTTTTCCCTTCCTCACTCTCTGTCAATTACAGAGGCAGCCATCAATGATTCAGGCTTTGAATTGTAATCTGATGCTTACTGGCTTTTGTACCCATGGGCAGGTCACTTAAGAAAACTCTGAGCCTCAGTTTCCTTATTTGTAAAGTAAAGATGAGACCTGTTGCGGGGCAATTGTGAAGAAAGGCCTTTGTCATTCCCCAGGCATTATGGAAATGTGAGCAATTATCATTTCCTCATCCTTCGCCTGGAGGGCAAATGGCATTTTTCACAAATTGTTCGCATGTGCCTTTTTTTTTCCCCCTTCTGTCGGTTGTGTTCTCCTGGGGCCTTTCACATGATTGATCACCACATTTGTGGTTCACTGATGCCTTTTGGAGCTAGCTCGCCCTCCGTAGAGTATTTGTGAGGTACAGCAGGATTCAGGGTGCTAGGAGTCAGACAAGACCAGATGATGGTGGAGATGGAAAGTCCTGGGTTGGTTTTTAACTGACTTTGTTTCCCTGTCTGGTCACCTCTCTCATTTAGAAGCTAGAATTCCTGCAGCTCTTTGGCCTGACCACCCGACAGCAGAAGGAGGAGTTACTGACTCAGAAGAGGAGGAAGAGGCGCCGGATGCTGAGGGAGCGGAGTCCATCACCCCCAGCCGTTCAGAATAAGCGACAGACCCCTTCCCCTAGGCTTGCACTCTCCACTCGATACAGTCCCGATGAGATGAACAACAGCCCCAACTTTGAGGAGAAGAAGAGGTTCTTGACCATATTCCACCTGACTCACATCAGTGCCGAGAAGAGAAAAGGTATAGCCCGGAAGTCTTCCCTCTCTGTGATGTCTGTCTAGGTCATGGGGTTTGGTGATTCCTTCTTTTGTACAGTGGGATGAGATGAGATGAAACTGACCAAAACGAATAGCTTATCTTGAGTCAGTGGTCAAGAGCATTCCTGACTCACAAGTTCTGCGTTTTATTCTAGCTGCTAGGTGGGCATATGTTCCTATGTCACCTGGGACGTACCTCTGTCTATCTTGTTCTTTAAAGCTCTCCAGGAGGGTAATCCTGTCCAACTTTCAGCTTGACCCCCATCCTAAATCTTGACTTCTTTTCTCTTTTTCCTCCTCGGTGGAGGCGGAGGGTAGCTGATCATCTTGAGAGATGGCTGTTGTCCCAGCCACCCACATTGGTCCCTAGAGGTAAACTTGGTAGCAGAGAATTCTGCTCTGCTTAGGAGAATGAACGAATGTCTCTTCAAACCAGCTGGTTGGTACCGGCTCTGTCCATTCATCTTGCTCAGTGGATACCATCAAGTTTCTTTTTCCTGCTAGGCTCCATCAGTTTTCCTTCTTGGTACATCCTCTTGGCTTGTCTCAATGGCTTTTGTTTTCTGAGGGGCAAGATAAGGAGATAATTATCAGTTGCTGGCAAAGTTTACGGAGACCCAGCTATTACTGTGCAGAGACAGAATCCTTGAATTTCTGGGATTGTGCCAGGGGAGGGAAACGCCACCAGCTTGACCCTCCACCTCTCCCACTATAACCAGAGAGTCAGAGAAAGCAAGTCTCCTACTTGACCCATGATGGGTTTTGACACATCAGGTTAGCGGCTAAGGAATGTGGCCAAACAGTTGTTACTGCAAGTACAGTGAAACAGTCCACATTAGACACATACATGGGCGACCAGCCAGGCTCTCTCTGTGTTTATTCATTTAGCCCTATTTTTGGTTCATTTCAGTATTCAGCTTGCTTAGCGTTAGTCCAATAATATCTCTGAAAGAAATCACAGAAGAAGGAGGAAAAAAACCCCTTCAAAAATCCCTGCGGATCAATCCAGAATTCATTTTTAGAACTGTGTTCTTGATTCTTTTTTTAATCAGCAGGCAGGATTTCCCTTCTGTCCTTGAAGGAATGGCAATTCATCTGTTGAATCATCAACTCTTAAAGTTAGCGGGGACCTCAGGGATCTGCTGTCAGCGTCCCTCAGTAATAGCTCTCACTGCCTTTAGTTTTGTCAAGAGAAGGCAATATCTCTTTTAGCTATGTAGTCCTGCTGGCTTCCAGGAGCAGGGCCACTGCCAGTAGGGCTGTATAAATTTCATGGTGTCAGAATTCCCAATAAGATGGTGCAGAGAGTTGATCTGATTCAGTCTGCTCTTAGGTGAACCCTCAGAGGGCATGTGAGTGGAACTTCATTTTGGGTGGTTGTGTAGGAAAATACAGTGTACACAGACACAAATTGAGCTCTGACAGGGTTAGGGAGTGTGCTCGAGTGAAGGTTGGGCTTCTAGCTGTGATTTTTATAGGTTGGGGCCAGAGTCTTTCCAAGAGAAAGGTGTCTTCAGTATCTTGCTAAGTCATTGCACAGATTTATTGGAAGGCATCTGATGTACAAGTCCAGGTTACAGAAGTAGAGACGAGAAAGACTAGTTAGTTAATGAGTCAAGAATTCGATTTTTATTACCTTCGCTGCTATGGGCTCCTCTCTGTTGGGAGTTTCTGTGCATTAAACACAAACCTAACACATGATGTTTGGTTTGGTTTTTCTTTTTTTCTTGGCTTCCTGTTCTTGGAAGGCTGATCATGGCCTGCGGCTACGATTCCCACTTTTCCTCTCTCTCTCTCCTGTATGATGCAACAATCTTGTTAATCCCAGGCTGCTTTTCTCACAGACAAAGAGAAACTTGTTGAAATGCTCCATGCCATGAAACAGAAGACAATGTCAGCAGCAGTGACAGACTCAGTGAAAAACGCTACGAGGGACAGTCCCATTATCTCCCTGAGCGGTAAGGGGCAGGGCCGGGGAAGGGCAGCTAAAGCTGCTCCTAGGATGTGTGGATTGGCACACTGCCCTGGGCCCCTTTTTCACCTTGAGTCCTACCTCCATCAGGATGGAAGAGCATTCTGTCGTACAAAAGTCCTGTGTTCTAAAAGAGTGGGGAAGATTCTTCCCTGCTTCTGTAAGTGATTAAAAACACTGAAGGTCAAGGACATTTGACTGGGTGGGTGTTGAGAGAAATGAGGGGCTTCTGGGAGCTTAAGAAGTGAGGACTCTGTCCTAGGATGAGGGGCCCACAGCCCTTTTTGATCTGGACCAAACGTGTAATGCACAAAGGTCTACCTTTTGCTGGATCAGTTGAGTTGCAGTAATTACCCATCTCTCAAACTGGTGAACCTTTAGGCTGGCCTAATTCTGTGTTAGTGGATGCCTATGTAGTTGTTTTTCTCAGTTTAATTTTTTCAACCATAAAAAGGGAACTCTCTGGATCAGTCTCTTCTTTGCCTGCTCTGCACCTGCCCTCTTCTACGTGGATGCTTTGACTCTCTCCTCTTCTAGTCTAGATCTCTGGGTGTCTCCGGCACTTGGTTTCTAATCTCTTCTCTTCCCTTTACTGCCTTACTCACCTTTCAGCTCTGCCAATCGGAGCAGGTCACTTCACCGTCTGCCTTCATCCTGATGCCTCTATTTCTCTCCCTGATGTAGTCTTTGTTGGCCAGTTTGAATAAACAGACTCCCACTTTCCAGGCCATAAAGTACCCCCATCCCTCCTTCAGACTCCTTTCTTACTAGAAGACTGGCCTACGGCATAGATTGATACCTCCCAAAATGGGACTCGGTGTGGCTCAACAGATGGTCACTGTCTTCAGCTGAGCTTTTGATCCTTCACGTTCCACTTCCTTTCCATCTCCAAGCGTTTGCTCTGAGTAGCCCCCTGGGAAGCTGTTCTCTTTAGAACGTGTAACTCCTTGGGACTGAGCACTAGCCAATATGCTTGGGGCTTCTTACAGCACGTTGCATCGTGTAGGTGCTTCATGATTTTTCTAAATTTTTGTTTCTAAAAGAGCCGCTGATGCAGCAAGCCGCTGCAGATGCAGATAAACCCATCAGTACCGCAGCCTCCTTATCTGATGCCCCGAAGGCCGCAGAGCCTGGAAGACTTGAACAGCTCAGACCCCAGGAGCTCCAGAGAGTTGGGGATCCAGCCTCAGAGAAGGCCAGAATGAGTGAAGCCCATGGCGGGAAGAAGAGCTTAAGCATGCTTCATTATGTCCGGGGCTCCTTGTCCAAGGACATCCCCATCCCACTGTCTCACAGCGTGAATGGGAAAAACAAGCCCTGGGAGGCCTTCATGGCAGAAGAATTTGCGCACCAGTTTCACGAGTCCGTGCTTCAGTCCACCCAGAAGGCCTTGCAGAAGCATAAAGGTAATGAGGATTGATACCACTTGGCAAGAGTGGGCTTGCCCTGCTCTGCTTTGGGGCCATAGCAGCTAGTGTTTACACAGCAAGGAGCCACTTGATTGTAGGTTCTAGAAAACTATGGCAGACTATATCACCTGAGCCCTTGAATACTTCCATGTATTGACTCACCAGTCTTCACAGTGAGGTCCTTAGCTGGCAAATACTCTTCCCACTTAGCAGAGGGGGACTTAGAGACAGATAAAAGTTGACTTTTACCAGGACTGTGTAGACCTAGGCATTGGAGCCAACCCTTAGTCCAGATTTCTGTCCACTAGCCTAGGGACATGGGGATCTAATTATTCAGTGGCCACAGAAGCAGAAAAAAATTATAATCTAGCAGATGACCTGGCTATCCCGTGCCATGGAGAGCCTTGAAAATTTTGGTGTTAGAACACTTGAAGAGCTGACAATTGTGTCAGCCTTTGTTTCTGATCAGTTTTTCCTACTCTTTAATGATTTTTCTAAATTTTTGTTTCTAAAACAGCTGCCAATGCAGCAAGCCACTGTAAGAGTGCATTGGTAATATAGTAATTAGTAATGTGCATTGAGTGGTAATTTTTTTGAAAGCTTAATTTGATGTGAGAAAAAAACCTTGATGGTCTAGTTCCAGAAAGAAATAAACTTCGGCAAACTCCAGGAGCAAAAAACTCCAGTCTCTAGAACAAAGGTATGAACGTTTAGGAAAGAAACAACCAAGAAAGCAAAGGAAAGCAGGCTGACTGTAGGATCATTGGATTACATATAGACCAAAGCCGGGAGGGAACTTGGAGATCATTTGGTCCACTTCTTCATTTTTCAGATGAGGAAACTGAGGCCCAGTAACTTACGTAAATGACAGAGCCTGGATTCAACCACCAAATTCAATGGTCTTTACACTGCACCAAAATGGTTTTGGTTTGGTTTTGTTTTTTTCGACACTGAATGAATGAATGTTGGGGGAAGAGGGGTGAAATTTTTCCAATGGTTAGCATGGAGATGCTTGAGAAAATCATTTTTCTTGTGGTTTGGTCTCAATTAAGTGGTGACACTTTGTGTCCATCCCTTGATCACAACCTTGCTTAGCAAGAAAAATGAATTTCCCACCTTGGAAGCACTTGTATTCCAACCAATCCCTGCCTTGCTCTGTTGACCAAACCATACACAAAGCCCTCCATTTAGGTAAAATTTATCAGAGCTTGTTGGGCTTATCTTGGGCTATTCCTTCACAAACCGTAGGTTTCCCTCCATGTTATGCTGGGCCATCAAAAGAAGGACTTTAATGGGCAGGATCTATGTGTATCTTTCACTCCTAGAGGTTTTCTCATCTGAAAAGTGAGGTTGGACTAGATGTTCCTTAGATATCTCTTTTGGTTTCAAAATCCTTTACTTCTCTGATCCTTTCCCCCATCCCTCCTGCCCGAAGCACAGACTCCCCACTCCAGGATCTTCCTTGTCTTTTCCACTCCAGCACTTTGTTCTGTCTTACGCCTGGGGCCAGGCTTCCCTACTCATCCAAGATGACTAATGTGGTAATTCCCTTTGTTTATATGCTAAGAGAAGACTAGGAGAGCTCCTTGGAACCCTCTGGTTCCTAGCCTGCATAACTACAAGGGCCATCTATGTACCTTGCTTAATGCTTGGTGAACCTGTTGGGTTCTGTTGCCTTGTCCATAGACAGAAATAACGAGACTTGGAATCCAGAGAAACCCGAGTTTGAATTCCACCTATTAATATTCATAAGTTGTATAACTACAGATTAATTAACTAACTACTCTTGGTCTCGATTTCCTCATCTATAAAGTGGGGGCAATACCCATAGTTCTTATCTCATTGTTATGAGAATCCAATGCGATAATAAATTTAAATTGCTTTGTGAGTCTTAAAGTGCTAGATAAATGCCAGCTATCGTTACTGTAAATTAAAGACAATTTTATTAGTGGACGAACCAGCGCAGATATAAAAATCTCTGGCATCAATTTTTTAAAAAAATTAATATATAGAAAGTACATTTCTACAAAAATTTGTCTCAAAAATATTATCCTCAAATGGTTCTTCTCCTTTAAAAGGTTACTAACCATTGGTCTCGTTGAAAAGGATGGGGGAAGTTCACCCACTATTCCTTACCCCTCCACCTTCAATCTATGTCATGGTCACATGAGTTTTTTTTTTTAACCACTTTGAAGACTTTGAAACCACAGTGATTTTTCTCATTTCTGGAGAGCCTTTCTCCCATTATTCTGTGATAGGTTGAATATGGCTTTTCTACCTCACTGGTGTGCCGAATAATTTTCATTATCATGACTTTTTTGGTTAGGACTTTAGCTGTGTTTTTCCCTCTTCCCCATGATAGTCTGAGGTGTGTTTTTCAGGGCTGTGTAAATCTGTTTAGTCAGTGGAAAGCCCACAAGTTTCTGGCCTTCTTTCCCAGAGGCCATTCGGTAGGAAGACAAGTAGAACTGAACTGGGGAAACCACCACCTTTCTGGCCGGCTGGGGCTCTCTTACCTCCCGAATGTGAGCCTTTGGCAGTGCCAGCCCCAGGCCTCCAAATTTAGGAGCTTAGGTAGAACGTCGTACTAGCAAGGATGAAAACAAGCTCTCATACCTGGACGTACCATGAGTCCTGATGAACCTAAACCTTAGCTTTCGATTTGGGACTTAGAAGGCAAATGAAGGCATCAAACGTGCCCTCCCCCAGTGCTGCCAACACAGTCCCATAATGGTAAGCACCACTAACAAATCCTTGGCCCTCTGAGGTTTACATGTCCTATCTCATTTGAGCCTCTCAGCAACTCTGGGGGAGGGTAGGTATGGTATATATTGATAAGTACAATAGATATTATTCCCAGCTTTAGATATGTGTTAGCTCTGAAGATCTTTAGTGACTGAGGAATGGTCACCCAGAATTGAACTCAGGACTCTCCAAGTACAGCGTCCTTCTTACCACTATACGACGGTGCCTCTTCACAGGTGAAAGTGATAGGACAGACACTGTCAGAAGGATGTACCCTTTCAGTCGTGATGCATTTCTGCCCGCCTCCCTTTCAATCCCCCTTCTTCCCCCCATGCCCAATAGTGTAGGTAGTGGGGGAGGAGCCAGCTGCTGTATGTTTGGGATGCCTTGTCTTTGGCCTTATCATCCAGCAAAACTAATTGACCCCGGCCCCATTAGCACCCTGAGCGCTGAGCAGAGAACCACTGTAATCAACAGGTGCTCAGCTTGTGGCTTGTCTCTCTGTTCCAGGAAGTACAGCCTTGCTTTCTGCCGAGCAGAACCATAAAGTTGACACCTCCGTCCACTACAACATTCCTGAGTTGCAGTCCTCCAGCCGGATAGCGATGCCTCAACACAATGGGCAGCAGGAGCCCTCATCTGTGCGGAAGGGCCCCATTTCCCAGGAGCTGGACAGAGACTCAGAGGAGGAAGACAAAGATGAAGATGAAGAAGAAGAAGAGGAAGAAGCCCCCAGACCCAAATGGCAAGGGATTGAGGCAATTTTTGAAGCTTACCAGGAACATATAGAAGGTCAGTATATAGGGTAACTTAAAATTTGGCAGACCATTTGAGGATTCCATTGTATATTTGGGCACACTAATAAATGACAATATTGGTGGTAATAATACCTAACAATTATACAATGCTTCATAGCTATAAACATGTGTGTGTGTGTGTGTGTGTGTGTGTGTGTGTGTGTGTGTGTGTGTGATCAATCATATTTAGCGGTAATGACGCAGAGAGGTCAGGTAATGCAAACATTTTATAGGTGAGGAAGCCAAAGCCCAGAGAGAGCACATAACTTGCCTGTGATCATGTAACTCATAGTGGGTGCAGCTGGCATTGAACCCCAGCTCTTTTGACTTTTCATTCTCATGCTTCTTCCTAGTGGATGGATTTGGGGGGGGGGATGGGGCAATCAGGATTAAGTGACTTGCCTAGAGTCACATAGCTTCTGAGTGTCAAGTGTCTGAGGCCAGATTTGAATTCAGGTCCTCCTGACTGCAAGGCTGGAGCTCTATCTGCTGTGCCACCTAGCTTCCTCTGGATGGATTTCTAATGACAAAACTGCACCCAAACACCGGCATTCTTCTACGTTACCACCATCTTTTATTTCTAGGGGGCAACAAGTGATTCCTGACTGATCTCTGTCCAGAAGTTATTCTGTGGGTTTATTCATAGTTAATGTCATACCCTATTTAAGAGGAAGTAATGGAGGAGCCCGAATGAAGGTGAATCCTGCTCCCGGCGGGATCTGACAATGCCAAATGACCTGCAGAGAGGGCTGCTAAATATAGTCCTAATCATGTGCCACTTGTGTTTTGGAAAGTGACCTAGTTTCACTTCAGCCCCAGAGAATCCCGAATGCTCAATGACCATCCATGCTTCATACCTAAGGGGGCCAGGGGCTGTTTCCTTTCAGGGCTGGCATCCTTTTCAAGTGTTCCGACGAACACGTACCTATACTTAGATGATCTCAAACATCCCTTCTAGCCAGAAAATCTTGTGGGACACACTCCTCCTTCTGCCAAGCAGATCACGTGATAATAACCACTGAAATACACTTGGTGTTGACCAACCCCCAAGTCCAAGAGAGGGCAAGCTGAGACTGGCTTATCAAAGATGAGCTGAAAAACCAGAAAGCACTTAGACCATCCATCTACATTTTACAAAGAAGGAAACTGAAGGTTACATGCCCAAGTTCACAGAGTTATTATCTAATGACAGGACTGAGATTAGAACCCAAGGTTTCTGATGTCCAGACTTTTCCTTTTATGACTACAACTTGTCATTTTGAATCAGGCCTATAGAGTCTGGTATGGATGGAGTTTTATCATACATTTTTTTAAGGGCATCATGACTGGTGGGTTGGTATAACCCATTCTTTCTTCCTAAATGATTATCAACAGACAAACCAGACCAGAACAAGACAGTTCGTCTTTCTTTTTTGTTTTTTCCTTTTTTCTTTTTCCAGGTGTAGGGCAGTTATTTACTTCTTCCACTCAGAATAAATGCCTAAGAAACAAAAGTCTCCTAAGCGCATGTTGATAGACTTTAAAGCATGATTCAGTAACCCATACTCTCCAAAGAGGTTGATACTTAAAACAGGGAATACTTGGTGAGACTCTTGAATAGGTATTGTGCCTTCACCTCAGCTCTGTACTGTCCGAATGATTCCCTCAGGGTCTGTGTCTTCTGGCCATCCAGGTCTCTGATCTTTGTGGTCATCTTCTCTTAGAAGGCTACACTTGTAGAAACTTCCTTCTTGACAGTTCCTCTTTCTAATTAAAGCTGAGCACTTTGCCTTCTTTCCCAGGGAGGTGAGCAAGGCTGCTATTTGGCCAAGCAGAACATGAAAAGAAGCTACTCATTACAGAAACTTGCTTTTGATTGCTTGATGGCAATAGTGAAAGTCTTTTGTCTTATTGCAGAACAAAACCTGGAACGGCACGTTTTGCAGACCCAGTGCAGACGGCTGGAAGCCCAGCACTATACCCTCAGTCTGACAGCAGAGCAGCTCTCACACAGCATGGCGGTGAGTGAGTGCCCGGGCCTGGTGGGCATGAGGATTCTCCTAGCTCCCACTTACTTCTGTCACACTTCTGTGGTGACGAAGCATCAGAATCTTGAAAGGATCATAGGATATAGAACCAGAAGGGTCTTTAAATCAGCCACTCAATCAGCAAGCATCTATTAAATGCCTGCGAGGTGCTAGGCACTGGTGAAAACAGATACCAAAGTGAGACTTCCCGTGTTCTCAAGGGATTTATGTTATGCCAAGGAATACGCAAAATGTTCACAGATAAGTAAATACAGGAATTTTACAAAATACATACTCAGTGCTAGAGGTGGGATGATGGCTGAGACGGTGAGGAAAGATATGATCTAATCCAAGCCCCTTATTTTGGAGATAGAACTAGGACTAGAGAGGGAAAGTGATTGTGCTAGGTCACACAGGTATTTTTGAGATTCAAACTCGGCTCTTTGGACCACAAATGCAGTACTTTCCTTCCTGAAACCTGTTGTCCCTCTCACTTGTTCCTCACAAATACCCTGTTGTATGAGGTAGGTAGCGCAGATGTCCATGTCCCTAACAGTAAAGGGCCTGCTAAGATGCCTTTCTTTTGCTCAGGTTATTTAAAAACAGGAAGAGGATATAAAAATCTAACTGCTTTGGATTCCTACAGGAACATCCTTTCAAACTGATTGCATTTGGAGCTATGTACACTTTCACCTCTGAAAATTTTATTCCCAGTTCATATTAATAACCCAACAGTTCAAAAGATATATCTATGCCTTCTAGGTGAACAGTGCTGTATTCAGTGTTGAGAATAATACAAAAATGAAAATGAAACCAGTCTTGCCCTCAGAAGGCTTGCCTTCTACTAGAGGTATACAGTATGCACACAAATAAAGTAATTCCAGGAGGCAAAGAGCACTAAGAACTGAGGGATCAAGAAAGGCATTGCATTTCTTTTTTCAGTCAAGAAACATTTAGTTTCTCTTCTTCCCATCTTCCTCCATCCCCCCCCACCCTCTCCCAAAAAGGAAACCTAGACCCTTGTAACAAATATACGTGCTCAAGCAAAACAAATTCTTGCACTGGTTGTGTCCCAGACTGTGTCTCATTCTGCATCTTGTGGTTTTCATTCACTCATCTCTTCCATAAATATGTAGTTGACAACTTGAGGACAAAGAAAGTATATGGTGTTCAGACTGAGTGACTCAGTAATAGAACGGGGACGGGTAAAAGAATAGTGGCCATTTTGACTGGAGATGGTAGTGGTGGTAAGGACAGTTAAGTTATAAGGAAGGTTTGGTTCTTTTGATTGTTTTTGTATTTGGAAAAATGTAGAGCTTTTGTTACCTTGACATATGCTTTGAATATTGAATTGGCATTGGCACTGTTGAGAGAGGAGCTGCAGTTTCCCTTACAATGTAGACATTGTCTTGACAGCAAATTTCTTTTCTGTCTCCAACAGGAATTAAGGAATCAGAAACAGAAGATTGTTTCAGAAAGGGAGCGACTTCAGGCAGAACTGGATCACTTACGAAAGTGCCTTGCGTTGCCTGCAATGCAGTGGTCTAGAGGTTACTTCAAGGGATATCCCAGGTGACGTTCCCTTGCACTAGGCCGAACATATAGTATAGAAATATTATCTATTTTATTACCTTGAATATTTAATATTTTTCACTGGGAGGTTTGAAGCTTAAAAAAAAAAAGAAAAAAGAAAAAGAATTTGAGAATGTGCCATGCATGAAGCAAAGGATTCTGGGATCCAGGAAAAAAACTTAATCTTGACTGCAATGCAATCGAATCACCTTTGTAATTCTGCAAGCAGCCCAATTAGGAAGCCCATAGCTTTTATTTTCTTTTCAAGTTGGTTTTGTTCTTTATTGCCCCCTTTATTGTTTTGGCTTTTATATATACACATATATATATATATATATATATATATATATATATATATAAGATGAAGATGAAGGTTTCATTACCAACACTAAGACCCATTCAGTGTTCCAGGAGTGCCTATCTGCACTTGACTGGATCAAACCAATTCTGTATTCTTTCTGTTGCCATATTAGTACTAAAAGAACTGAATTTCTGCTCAGTAAGGATGGAGTTGGCCTCCGTCTACCCCACAAGTATATGGCTTTCTTCAGTTGGAGAGGAGATTGGGTGCATTGTAAGTGACAGGATTGTTCATTTCAATTACTCAAGTAATTATCTTCAGAGCATCATGTCCTGGGAGCAAACCAAGCCACAGTACTTGAGACTTTCCCTAAGGCTTTCCCACTGGAAATGCACTTATCAAAAAATAAAATGAATAAACAAATGGAGGGTACCTTTTTATTATGGGGAGGGGCAGGGGGGGTGTTATTGTACAGAACTATACAGATACACACACACACACACACACACACAGACCCACAATGTTGTGTTACTTCAGTGGGTTATGTTTTCATACAAACACAAATTTTGAGAGAAAAAAAAAGTCAAAAAGGTGCTTCGGCCTTGTACTGTGTATATATATTAAAAAAAAAAAACAAAGTTTTGTATGTTTTTATTACTTTAATTATTGTTATAAAAAGCCTGCCATTTTTAATATGTGGTTTTGGGGGAGGGTTGGTTTGGGGGTTGGTTTCCTGTTTTGGGTTTGTTTTTTTTTTTTGGTTCTATTTTTGTTTTCGTTTTTTGTTTTTGGCAAAAAAAAAAATCTTGCTTTTAGTGTTTGTACCGCTGCTGGTCAGAACATTAAAATATTGAAGCATTTTAAAGAATTTTTTAAGAGGCAAAGTAAAAGCTTTCCACTGGCGCATATGCTGTCAATTCATTTTCAACTTGTGTTGTACCAGAGAATTCTTTCAAAAGCCATGCATCACTTCTAACCTCCCTCCTTCCCTTCCTCTGTTCTTTCTGTTGTTGTTATTTTTTTTCCAGCACTTGGAAAGTAAATTGCAAATATGACCAGCTGCTATTGAGTGAGGAGGGGATAGTCTGTGTTGGGAACAAGATTAAAAATTACTTTTGTGTGTTTTGTGCGACCGCGTGCGTGTGTGTGTGTGTGTGTGTGTGTGTGTGTGTGTGTGTGTTTTCAGAGACCTTTTCAGGAAGTAAATGTTCTGTGATCTAAATCTATGATGTCTTACAGCAATCTGAGCAGGTGCAAAGTAGAAAACTTTAGCAGCTTCACTTAGATGCAAAGTTTTAAAAGCTTTTAAAGAGCCTAAACATAGAGGTAACATAATGTCTGATCTGAACTCCTCTTCCTTTTTAATGGATATGGCAAGCGCAGGAGAGGCTAGAAACATGAAGGAAGAACTGTAACTGTACAGAACAGGAGAGGGGATTCTTTTATCTTGCCTTAGCCTTCATCCATCTCTGCATTGTTTGGGCAGATTCACTGTGGATGGGGAAATTGGGTTGGAAAGAGGGATCCCATTCCCAGAGAACAGAATGTTTTGGGGATGTATAGCAGAAGACAGAGTGGTCTTGTCGATTTGTGATGTTTGAACTTTCCCAGTTAGCTAGTGAGCAGTTGAGTTGCTTGGAATGCTGCTCTTCAATTGGTAAAGGGTGTCCCGATCTTTTCTCAGTATAGATACAGCTTTCTAGCAGATGGCATTAACATGGTTTTATCTGTTCCTACACAGTTTGTTTTGTATGTTTGCCAGGAATCTTCCAGTTATTAGCAAACTCAGACAAAAAGGGCCGCCAGTATTATCAGCAGTCAACAAGAACCTTCCTTTCCAGAGACATTACTTGAAGAGAGATGAAAGGCTGTACTTGTATACCTCCTTCCCTCAAAAGACATTGTGAAATTTGCCATGTACTCTGTAGGTGGAGCTTGGAGGTAAAGGAGCTAATTTGCCAAAGACGAGGGCAAAAAGTATCAATGTACTTCCCAGAACAAAATCTGCTTGCTGTTATCTAGTCTGGAATTTCTGAGGGAGGGGCCTTTTCCGCTGCTGGCTCTGCTCCAGAGCCCTTTTCCACAGTCCATGGAAAAACTCGTCCTTTTTTTTTTGTTGTTAACTTGTGGGCTAGCCATAGCCTTGGCTGAAGGAAACTGGGCAGGGGAAGGTTTATCAGCTCGTAGGCCTGTGACATCATGGAAGAGGGAAAGGACAGCAAAGGACTTCAAGGAATGGGGCTAGCCTAGAACACACTTCATTTTAGTTTATCTGGCCACCAGTTCCAGGCTTTGAGGAATATTTTGTTAGCTCTTACCTTGAATGAACTCTCACTTTCACCATCCTGGTATAACAGCAGGCAAGAGATGGTATGGTTTCCAAAGGTACCTGTTGATTAATAGATGGGGTTGAGACTACTCTACTATCAAGAGAGCTTTGACTTCCCTTGTTTCTGATTGGCATTTGAGTCTCAGCTTGATGTCTGAGCTTTCGGTGCCCATTTCCTTATGTAGGTCTCTGAATACTCTTCTTCCTCAAAAAGAAAATCGAAACCCATAGAACAGCAATGACCATTAGGATGAGGAACTATTGAAATAAAAAACACATTACTGAAATGTGTAAATACCCTGATGGGTTTTCCCCCTGGTCATGTTTAGAACAGCACTGACACAGAAATGATTTACAATTATTTTCATACATTTCTATTCTGAAAAATGTGAGAATATGGCAGTCCATAGTATGTTTTTAATTTGGCTGTGAGAAAAACTGACAAAATACAAAATTGGGAAGCTTTTTAATTTCTCCTTGAGATGGATTGAAAAGCAGAAGAAAAAAACTTTAGAATACAAAATAGTAAAAGTTCAGATATTTATCGTGATTGGCTCTAGATTTAATGATGCTCCCTTTTTCACGATTTATATAGAGACTGGTCTTTAGCAACTAGAAATGGCACGTCATTTTTGCAGAAATAAGACTGCAACCCAAACTCCTTAAGGGTACAGTGATGAAAACAACTGCATCATAAGGTCCAGCAGCTAGATAGATATTTGCACTTCACCCCCAAATTGAAACAAAACAGAATACTCCTGAGGCTTCTTCATTCCTTGGACTTACATCCCAATGATGTGATTTTCCTATTGCAAACAGACATTCTGGAAGCAACACATGGCTGGCTCTGCTATAGAAGTAAGACACTTATGGTAGTTCAATTTCCAAAGGAACAGCTGATGTCTATCAGTTGTCTCAGAAAAGATGAGAGTAACCCAAGATGTCACCTTCAGTCACTTTCGTATGTTAGAAGAGGTGACATTAATTTGGAATAATCTCAATCAGGGGCTTCAGTTGGAGAAATCAGTAAGTTGCCCTTTTAAGGAAATTAATTTCATTACTCTAGAAATACATGAAGCTGTGATTCAAATTCACTTATGAACGGCATTTTAAAAACATTGTACTGCCCCACAGTTGCCATATTTATGAAGAGCTGAATTTCAAAGAGGACCCATTTAAAAAAAAATCTTGTTATAAATGTATCCACTCCAAGTTATCTCTTAAGTTGCAGGAAGATTTCAAGGAGCTGCCACTAGATGGAGATGGTCAACACGCGCCAATTCTAGCACTCTTGACTGTATATTAGCCACTTGCAGCAATTCCTATACTCTTTAAAGTAACAAACGCTGTTGATTCTTTTTTTTTCTTAATCCTTTGGTAGCCTTTCCCCAACTTTTGGACCCTGTGCTTTACTCTAAGAATTCTTCATTCTGCCTTGACCCAAAGCCCATGCTGATTGGTTGTGATTTGTATGTACCCTGTGCATAATTCCTAGAGCAGTAAATCAGTACATGGGAAGAGGAAGGGCACCTCAGTCAACAGGGGGGCAGTTTAGATGCTGTGAAATTAAACCTGTTCTAAGTGTACTTGTTTGAATTAATTGTATTGTAATATATTATTTGTTGAATGTAGTAATTAGGTATTTATGAATATATTGCTGTAATTTCTGACAACATCCAAAAAATAAAATCTTCATAAATCAGTGTTGAGGATTATTTTCTGATTAAAGCGTTACGAAGGACCAGCTTGGGCCTTCACCAACCATTCAACGGCTCCACTATGACTCAGACTTGGTTTCCTATTTTAGAAACTGGTAAAAAAGACAAAAATCGGAAAACAGGGATATTCTGACATGCCAGTTCTTGAATATGCTTCCCTCCACTCCAAAAAGCCAGTATAACAAAGGATGTAATCCTAAAATATGGGAATGAGAGTGAGCTGGGATAAAGGCCAGGAACTTCTTTTGCTCATGATTTATTCCAAAAGGTGACGTGTGAGATGACACATAAACCAGTCAACATACTTATTAGTAAATGTCCACATGACAGCTGCCAGCCCAATAAAATTAGTCACAAAACACTTGACTCCATACAACTAGAAAGATGGCAAGTCTTACATTCATATGTTTATGTCCTGTACAATGTATTACACCTGGTTCAATAAAGATTTGATGAATCTTAGCCCAAGGTCAAAGGAATAATGAAAATCAGACATGAAACCATAGTTTTAGAGCAAAGAAAAATGGAACTGGGGTGTGATTCCTATAGTGCCTACAAGTAGTATTTGACTTTGAATTCATAAAGTAGAAATATTTTGGGAATTAACAAGCTTGCGTAGTAGATGATGTACAAGGATGTACTCGTCAGCCATCCTCGGTACTTAAGTCACTGGCCACTAGGTGGCAGTGTACAGCCCTTTCAGAAGCCTCCATACCCTCATCTCAAGTCTGTTTTGCAAGCTGCTAAATTACTGATCATGCATCATCAGTTATTCAACTAAATACTCACGATAGTTTATTTGGGGGTTTTGTTTAGGAACTGGCAGCCTCACCTCCAGAATTTGTGAAATAATGCTGCTTCTGACCACAGGCTTGGGAACTGACTATGGAGCAATTGCTTAGCTACCAATTTTCCTCCAGCTGATGGGAGCAGCATACCGATTTTTCTTCCTAATCCCAAACTGCTTTTGACAAACCAACATGCACCAGAGAGGGTAGGTAAGTGGAGAGAATGCTTCTTCATGAATTCCTTTTAAAGTGTAACAGCTGACTTGGAAGTTTACAAAGTTAGTCATGCAGGTTAAAGAAGGACCCTGGCCTGTGACCTTGGCCCTACCCGCCTAGTCACAGGTGCCTTCGTGACTTTTCTAACGTGGAAACCTTTGGAGAACTAGGAGTGTTACAGTCAGTCAGCACGTATTAAATAAGCACCTTCTGTGTGCCACGCAGCTGCTAGATGCTTTCAGCCACCAGCGGTAAGCATTCTGCAGCGCACTGTACTGTGATCTAGGAAAGCGTCATGCAAAGATGACAATCTCTGTCCCTGAGGAACTTGTTTTCATTTCCTGAGATTCAGAACCACCTGTCAAACATGGTCTCCAGACATTTCCCACATCTGCATTTTAACACTAGTGATTTTGACTGGTAATTTTTGGTTAGACGCTCATCACTATTATTTGAAACTGGAACATTCTTTAAAAATAAGGGCTAGCATATAGCACTTCAGTGTTTTTTGCAAAGTGCTTTAAAACTATCTCATTTGATCCCCACAACCACCCTGGGAGCAAGGTGCTATTATTATCCCCATTTGACCAAGGAAATAGGCTGTGAGAGGTTAGCCGTCTGAACCTTGACCACCTGCAGCCAAAAGCCATTCTCTCGATTCCCTATCAGAAGTGGGGATAGATTTACTAAGGCCCCAATTCTGTGCTGTGCTTGTTACAGAATTAATAGTCTACTAGCTGATTCAGCAAGGGCAAAGGGAAAAGCCCATTCAAGTCCAAACAGACAGAAGACTTTACAAGTTTACTGGCAAACAACCAAGTGTTGTTTTGCGTGCAATCCAATTTAGACTTTAAAATGACCTAATAATGAAATGGTTGGTCTGGCTCTTTGAACCATCTTGACACAACAGCCAAGTGACTACATTACTGTCATACTGGGCAAACCCCCCAAACCATTCTGCCATTTCTGAGGCTGATTCAGTCTACACGTTTCACCAGAAGGAGCCTAAGCAAAACCGCAACACATGAGCATCAGTAACAATCCAATAAGATGGTCCCAATGTGCCATCTTTCTAAGTCTAACTTAACAATGAAATTGTTAAGATGATGTTAGGCCAGTAGAAAATGAAACAAAATAGACAGAAGGAAATTCTAAATCGCACCTTCATTATTGTGCCACTGGCATCTTATAAAAATGAGAAATAACATCCTGCTGGTAAGGAAAGGGTGAAGTCAAAAACCTTGAGACAACAGTATCTAAATTCTCTACCACCACTCATCTCAGCAGGATAGAGCGAGGGGTGGGAGGTGGGGGTGAACGGGATCTGCCAGGGAGAAGAAATTGTTTTGCAACAGGGCTACGCAAAATAAACGTGGACCCAAAGATACCCTCTGAAAGTGAGAGGAGGCCCGATGATTAATGTCCAGTCTCACACCTGTTGCTTCTCTTACTGAAAAGGAAAGGGTGACACTCTGCCCTTTGTCATCTACATGTGCTCTTGACATTCTGAGAACTTCCCAACTACAGGAAGTTCATTCCTGAAAAGTGGGCAAGGTACCAAACTAGCTTCCTTTCCGCTGCCTACCCTCAATCTTACAAAACTTAAGGAGGTCTCTCTTGCTACAATGTTTTCCTCTAAAAGTCCTGAGACTGAGCACTCTGTGCAGGATGGAGGTTTGTACGGAGTTTGTACATATGATTTAGGGCTTCTGTGAGGAATGCTCCAGTCGTGTTGATCTCCATCAAAGTTAGGTTATCGAGCTAAAGGGCAAGAAAAAAAGACAATGAGTAATATGTTTACTATAAATCTGAGGGATAAAGGTAAAAGTAAGAAACTTATCATTGCAAAAACCAAGCCAAAAGTACAAAAGGCACATTCTGTCTGCAAAAGTCATACCCAAATGCCATGCTACAACATGTAAAACTAATATCGTTCAACAGAATCAAGGTATTCATGAAAAAAAACCTGATGTTTGGTTTCATTCAAACCTTGGCTACTATGAAAGTGACCAAATTATACCCCTATTCAGTATGGAACTACACAAAGTCTAGGTACTCATAGACACAAGAATCTCAGCCTTTTCCCCCCCCAAACAGCTGATGTAGTCCCAGAATAAAATGAATCCATGAAAAATGTCTTACTATATGTATGTATATATACCTTGGCATGTGCTTCCTGCTGTTTGACAAAACTGTCTGCAGACACCCGGAGTTTAGCTATTCGAGTATCCCACATATCCTTAATCAGGGTCCGGATCTCATCTGCTTTGGGGATGTTATCCGAAGCACTACAGGAGGCAAAAATGCATCAGAACAGGTACAAAGTCCTAGGCCAAGGGTGGGGAACCTTTAGGCCATGTGGCGTCTCAAGGCTGAAGGTTCCCTGCCCTTGTCTAAGCAATATTACCAAGACTTCAGAGAAAGATGCTAACTATCTTTGACCCACTTAGTATTGAATTGTGTACTTTTAAAATGTAAGGATCTAACAAGCTTAGTGCCAAGTGGCCAGGTCCAATTTAGACCAATCATCAGTGGAGTTCCTTTTTTGTTAAAGCAACTGCCCAGGACAAGAACATCTCCTTACCTGTCCCACACTTCACATTCTAATACACTTGAGATTTAAAGTAAAGCTTCTCTAGCTGTCAAGCTCAGCTTTAGTAATTTCAGTGTGTCAAGAGTCTGTACTGAGAACATTATGCGTTTCAAAGGCTGGCTCAAGGAGGGGATGGTAGTTGTTAACTAGCCATTATTAATGGCCACCCTCTAAGGACGTGGCACTCAGTGCCAGAGGTGTGAAGGGGAATAGAACAAACAGAAAATGTGATCCCTGCCCTCAAAGAAACCAAACACAAAACAATGTTAACAAATGCAAAAGAATAAAGTAAAAATTAGCATCATAGCATCCCTTTGCTATGTAAAAAGAAGAGTAAAGAAAATCATATAAAGTAGAAGCCTTTCAGGTTAGGGTGAATCTAAGCTGAATTTTCAAAGTGAGAAGGGTGAAGGAAATAAATGGAAGCTGGGGTTAGAGGAAAAGATGGCCAAAGTCAGGTAAGAAGGAGCAAGCGAAATGATTCACATTTGGAACCAAGAACTAATGTCATAACTCTTTATCCCTCTTCTCCCCTCCCCACCCTGCCCTGAACACTGCAATTAGTAAATGCTTAATGGATTGAAATCGCAAAGACAGTACTTACTGATTTAACAGCAATTTGGTAAGCTCCATGTAGTAAGGACTAGGCATTGGGGTAAATGTTTCCTCCTTTCTCTCTTGATCTCGCATCTCCTCCAATTTTTCTGAAATATAGAGTGTAAAATGTTTCATATTCACAATATTTCTTTTTTTAAAAAAAATCATAAAATTGCATCTGTTTCCTCAGCCTATTTCAGGCCATTTTCCTTAAACAGAAAGGCTGATTAAAAAAAATACTAGTAGACTCATACAGGACAGATTGCCCAGATTATGCCAAATTTAAGAATTTGACTGTTAGAGGAAAAGCAGAAAACAATTGCAATTCCAAAATCAGAGGTGTCAGACAAACTACAGTAGCTGGTGGCTACTTCCCTGGGATGGGAAAAAACAGTGATAAGAACTTTTTCCTCAGTAAAATATTTATGTGTTATGGCTATCTCTTCCTTCAACAAGTCAATGAGACTTGGCCCAGATATGCTAGTACATCACCCAGGTCCAATCTCTGCCAAAGCCTCCTATACATAGGATAATCACATGCTGAAAGGATACAGTGAAACTACGTTTTTGTTCTAGTCAAACAAGTCTTTATGGCTTCTAAATATAAGATAGACATAATTTATTTAAAAATTCCTAACTACCTCTGCACCTAATTCTCCAAGCTACTGAATCCTTACTGAACTAGGCTATAGGAGGAACCTCTGCCCTTTGGCATCAGGGACACAAGTAGGAATTTCCCAATTCCTTTCCAAATCTCCCAAAGCCTCTTTCATAGGAAGGGACCACAAGTGAATTCAGTCCTTCTCCAGGAGAGCACTGGTATTGGGATATGGAGCCAAGGTGACCTCGGAGGTCATCTACTCCAACCCCCTCATTTTAGATGAAGAAATGGCAGTTAAGGGTCCTGTCAGCTCTCACAGCTATTGATATCAGAACTGGGCTTAGAATGAAAATCTTCCAACTCCCAACCAGTGCCACGCCATGTGGCTCCATAGCCCTAGCCTGGGGTGGAATCTTCATGGGAAGCAATACCTCAATGGCCCTCAATGATGCTTTTAAAAAAAGGCCCCTTGAGGCAGCTAGGTGGAGCAGTGGATAGAGCACTGGCCCTGAAGTCAGGAGGACCTGAGTTCACTGAGTTCAAGTAAGGCCTCAGACCAAATACTTGACACTTACTAGCTGTGTGACCTTAGGCAAGTCACAACCCCAATTGCCTAAAAAAACCCAACAAAAATATGGGAAAGGAGACATGCCTTCCACTTCTGTGCTAAGAAGCACAGACATTTAGCCTTGCCCCAACTGGTTTGGGACTGCTTCAGCTAGACACTTCTCTAGGAAGCAGGAGGGAAGAAGCATTCATAAAGCACCTACTAAGTGCCAGGCACTGTGCTATCCTTCACAAATGTGATCTCGTTTGATCCTTGCACCAACCCTCTGAGGTAGGTGCTACCGTGATCCTCATTTCACAGTTCAGGAAACCCCAGGATCCCCAGCTAGTCAGTAGCTGAGGTCAAATTTGAACCCAGGTCATCCTGACTCCACGCCCAGCACTCAGGGCAACAACAGCAGTAGACTCCTTTTATCCTGGTTCCATTTCTCCTGGCGAACAAAACCTCCAAGGTTTAAAACCTAAATTATACACGACGAGGGCCATCCTTAGATCAAATGGCTGGAAATGAGTGAGCAGTAATGAATCCCTCTTTGACAAATGATTGACCTGCACCCGTCAGGAAAGACAGCTCTGATCCTAACGGCAGTGCTGTAAACATTCTCCTCCTCCACGGGAGGCAACAGAGTTTGTACATGAAGTCAGCAGACCCAGTTTTGACTCCTCTGTCCTTGTCATTTTTCATGCTGGGGGATCTTGGGAAAGTTCCTCCAGCTCTCTGAGCCTCAGTGTACACCTAAAGCACGCATGTAGACATGTCAGTATATATAAAGGAATAATATTACTTACACTATAAAATCGAGACAGAAACTGTGACTTCCTCAAGGATACAGAAATTAAACAAGAATGCAAGGGTTACTTAAGTGCTGAAGTTCAGTAGATAGTAATGAGATAAGCACCTGCCCAACCAAGGGCAGAGACCCCACCACTTAAGACATAATCCAATCAGTTCTCTCCATCCTCAGCTTCTAACTAGACTTCAGGCACCTTTAGCCACCATCCTTACCAACATCCATCCACTCAGGAGGAATCACTCGACACTTCTGTCTCTGTTTCAGGTTCATCGCCAGCCAAAGAGGTACTTCCACAGGTAAACCAGGATTAAAAGGTCCCAGATCTCCCTGCCAGAGATGGAAAACAAGGCACCATGAGAAAACAGAGACCAAAACAGTAAGGTGAACCTCAGCCAAATGAAGAGAAATCATGGCATTAGTAAGAAAAAAAAGTTATAAAATCCTCCAAAAGGGCCCCGCCATCCAGCAGGCTTGGACACTTCTCCTGAGGGTCCAAATATAGCTACAGCTTAGGCTACAACAACAACTTATTGTTATTCCCAGGAAGTCTCCCTCAAACCTACAATTTCTATTAGGGGTAGAGAAAAAAGAGAAGAGGAGAAAGGAGGGGAGAGGAAAGGGGGGGAGGAAGGGAGGGAGGGGGGAGAGAGAGAGAGGGAGAGGGGAGAGAGAGAGAGAGAAGGAGACAGAGACAGAGAGAGAAGGAGAGAGAGAGTGAAAGAGAAAAAGGAGAGAGAGATAAAGAGAGAGAAAGAGAGAGAAGGAGACAGAGATAGAGAGAGAGAGATAAGGAGACAGAGAAAGAGAGAGGAGAGAGACAGAGAAAGAGAGAGAGAGAAGTAGAGAGACAGACAGTGAAAGAGAAAGAGAGAGGAGAGACAGAGAAAGAGAGAGAGGAGACAGAAAGAGAGAAAAGGAGAGAGACAGTGAAAGAGAGAAAGAAAGAGGAGAGAGAGACAGAGAAAGAGAGAGAGAGAGAGAGAGAGAGAGAGAGAGAGACAGAGACAGAGAGAGAGACAGAGACAGAGAGAGAGAGGAGAGAGACAGAGACAGTGAAAGAGAGAGAGGAGAGACAGAGAAAGAGAGAGAGAGGGAGAGAGAAGACAGAGACAGAGAGGAGGAGAGAGACAGAGACAGTGAAAGAGAGAGGAGAGAGAGACAGAGAAAGAGAGAGGAGACAAAGACAGAGAGAGAGGGGAGACAAAGAGAGAGAGAGAAGGAGACAGAGAAAGAGAGAGGAGAGAGAGACAGAAAGAGAGATAGAGAAAGAGAGAGGAGAGAGAGGCAGAGAGATAGAGAAAGAGAGAGAGGAGAGAGACAGAGACAGTGAGAGAGGAGAGAGAGAGACAGAAAGAGAGAGAAGAGATAAAGACAGAGAGAGAGAGAGGAGACAGAGAGAGAGAGAAGGAGACAGAGACAGTGAAAGAGAGAAAGAAAGAGGAGACAAAGAGAGAAAGAGAGAGGAGAGAGAGAGAGAGAAAGAGGAGAGAGACAGAGACAGTGAAAGAGAGAAAGAGAGAGGAGAGAGAGACAGAGAAAGAGAGAGAAGGAGAGACAGAGAAAGAAAAGGAGGGAGGGAGAGAGATAGAGGGGGAGGGGAAAATGAGGGGGAAGGGGGACGGGACAGGAGGGGGAGGGGAGGGAACAGAGAAAGAGATAGAGACAGGAGGAGGGGGAGAAGGGGGAAGGGGGAAGGGAAGAAAGGGGCAGGGGAGGGGTGGTATCTGGGCCAGAGGAGGAGTTCCAAGGTAGGAGGGAGGGCTCCAGGGAGGAGACGCCCGAGTCCGGGGAGGGGGTCCTAAGGGAGGAGACCCCCGACCCTGAGACCCGGGGATTGGGGGTGAGAACGGATACTCGGGAGGGAGGAGGAGGAGGGGCGCAAAGGCAGAGAAGAGACCGAAGTCCCGGGAGGCTGCGGGGCTGGAGAGGTCTGAGGGACTAGGAGGGGAGAAGGGAAACTGAGGCACGGGAGGGGGAGGGGAGCGGGGGAACACTGAGGCACGCGGGGGGGGTAGGCCCGGCATCCGATTACCCCGATGAGGTAGATCTTGTCCAGGCTGAAATTGGGGATGATGGTGACCATCTCCTTCTCGGCCAGGAACTCCACCTCAGCCGAGTCCATGGGTCCGGTCCCGGGTCCTCTGGATCAGAACCCCGGAGTCAGAGGCTGAGGGCGGAGCCGCCAACTTCCCGCCACTCCGACCGTCCCGCCCCCTGACGCGAGGAGCCTCAGGAGGACCTATCAGGAGGAGAGACGACGCAGGCCTCGGGGCGGGGAGGTGACGTCACCGTCTCGGGGATTGGACGAGCGCGCGCCCCGCCTCCTTCGTCGGCCCGGCTTTTCCGGGTTTGCGTCTCGCGCTTGCGGGGCGCCGGCGCTGTCTCCTCCGGGTGTCGAGTGCGGGGGCTTCCCCGCAGAGCTGCGAGTGCCGGCCCGAGGTCCCGATTCGTTCTTGTTCCGCACACTCTGCAGCAGTGACAGAGAGCGCAGAGGGGAAGAACGCTGCAGCGAGGGGCGCAGAGGGCCTGCGCTGGGGAGCCTGGGAGTCAGGAAGACCTGAGTTCGGGTTTTGCCTCCGACCTTTCCAGTCCACTGCTCTTTCCACTCTCCCACGCTGACTTCTCTCCAAGGGCCCCCAAAATATTACTGAACCCCAAGTCAGAAGAAAGATTGAGGTTTTCAGCCCTTGGCCTCTGCATTTGTTCCAACCCCTTTGGGCAAGTGTCTAGCCCAGCACTAATGCCCCGAGGAGTGAGGAGTGACCTTTGGGACCCAACCCAGCCTCCCTTAGACCAGGAGCGGTCCTGCAGCGACATTGCCTTTGGGCATGAAGTTCGTGGGAGCCGTGCTCTGTTGGAGACAGCAAGACCTGGGTTCAAATCCAGCCTCATGACCCCGACTAGCTGTGTGAGCTTGGGGCAAACCACCTCCTGCCTCTAAGCTTCAGTTCCCTCCTCAGTGAAATGAAGATACAAATAAGATTGAATCCAGTGCACAGTTAACAAGTGACTCCTTGCTATGTTTGGTAATAAAGGAGATTGCCAGAGGTAAACTGCACCGTCAGCGCAAAGTGAGTCAAGAAAGACAGAGGGGAGGAGTGCGTGCATCCCAAATATCTAGATTGATAGATATTTACTAAGCGTTGTTCATCCTTCATTTTCGAAGAGGACCAGGATTAAAAGGTCCCAGATCTCCCTGCCAGAGAGAGAAAACAAGTCACCATGAGAAAACAGACCAGAACAGTAAGGTGAACCTCAGGCAAAGAAGAGAAATCGTGGCATTAGTAAGAAAAAAAAAGATATAAAATCATGGGTGATACCTCGAAAATTAGATTTAAGTGAGGCAGGCAGAGATGCACAAAGTCATCAGCCTCCCTCTCTGTTCCAAAGTCATCGAAGTCCCGTGGCAGGACAGAAGTCAGGACTACTGGTGATGGCCCGAGGTGCAGTGGCTGACCTTGGCGTCTTTGATGTCTGACCAGCTCTAAGCGCTCTACAGCGCCTGCTTCATTCCCCCTTCATGGCCATCGGAATAAATTGTTTTCATCCTCCCACTCAGGCAGGGGGAAGTCTTTATAGGTTTGGAGTAGACACTCCCCCGACACACTGTGAGGTTTGAGAGCTGGTGGTTATCCTCAACCTGGGTTAGCCCGTCTGCTGAGAAGCTTTCACTCGGGTGTGGCCACGGTGCATGCTACAGCTTCTTGGAGCCACAGGCCAGAGTTGGGTGACAGGTGGATGAGCAGCTCTTACACCAGGGGTGCTCGTCCTCCCTGAGTGCCCCATACACCCCAGATAGATAGCAGGGTTTGCTATGTGTCAGGCAATATGCTAAGTGCTGGGAATTGAGATAAAAGCTAGCAAAGCAATCCCTGCCCTCCTGGGGCTTACCTCCTCCTGGGGGAAAGTCACACATCAAGGGCATCTGGAAAGGCTTTCATGAAGGCAAAAAATCTCAGCTGTCAGAGCCAGAGGGTGAGTCTGAGTTTCTCCTGGGATGAGGCTTGTTCCAGGGGAGAGCCATGTGAGGAGGGCCAGAATGGAGCCTGGACACATAAAGGACAGAAGCAGATTGTGGTTGGGGGTGGTTAGGAAACATGGCAGTGTGACTAACACCCAGAGGGCATCTTCTCCCTCTACACTACTTCACTTGGTGATCTCATCAACAAAGATTTAATTACCATCCCTTTGCTGATGATTCTTAAGTCTGCCTGCCCTGTCCCAAACTCTTTTCTGACCTCCAGTCTGGCCTCTCCAACTGCCTTTCAGACATCTCTGAGTGGATATCCAGTACTATTCTCTTTTTTTCCTTTTTTTTCTCTCCTTTTTTTTTAGGCAATTGGAGTTAAGTGACTTGCCCCGGGTCACACAGCTTGTGTCAAGTGTTTTGGTCTGAGGCCAGATTTGAACTCAGGTCCTCCTGACTTCAGGGCCGGTACTCTATCCACTGCACCACTTAGTTGCCCTTGGATGTCCAGTAGACATCTTAAACTCAATGAACTCATTATCTTTCCCCCCCTAAACCTTCCTCTTCTCCTTTCTTATTACTTAAAGGGCAACACCATCCTCCCAGTGTCTCAGGCGCACAACCTAGGAGTCATGCTGGACTCTTCACCCTCCCTCCCTTCCTCCCCTCCCCCAATATCTAAGCTGTTGCCGGGGCCTGCTGGTTTCAACTCTGGGACATCTCTTGAGCTCACCCCCTTCTCCCCTCTGACACTGCAGATCCTCATGCCTTGATTACTGCTATAGCCTGTTGGTGGGTTCTTCCTGCCTCATCTCTCCCCACTACAATCCATCCACCATTCAGCCAGTAAAGTGAAATCCTAAAGGGCAGGTCTGATCATGTCACACACACACACACACACACACACACTCAATAAACTCCAGTGGCTCCCTATTGCCTCCAGGATCAAATATAAAATGCTCTGTTTGGTATTCAAAGCCCTTCATAACCTAATGCCCTCCTACCTTTCCAGTCTCCTTACACACCCCCCCCCAGGTACTTTTTGATCTAGTTATAATCTAAATAAACAAATCAGAGAAAGAGGGTGCTAGAGGCCCACCTAGGCCTGAGAAGGCATTATGTTTTCTTTTTACTTTTTTTTTGCATGTTTTTTTTTCATTCTAAACTTAAGAAGTAAAACAAGCATTTCCATAACAAAGTAGATTAGAAAAAAAAGATTGCCCTGAAACTGCAGATCCATTATGTACAACCTGCTGTTCCTTTCAAATATATAACAGTTATCCTGTAACTTTCTTTTTTTCCCCCCTCACTCTCCTGCCCCCCACCAGAGATGACTACTCTTCAACATAAATATGTGTGTGTGTATAATCAGTTCCTTCTCTGGATGCAAACATCATCTTCCTTCATAGGATCTTTGCAGTTAATTTGGTTATTTAGAATAGTCATCATTATACTGTCTCGAGAAAAGATCTCTCACCCTTCTCCCAAATTCAAATCCTATCTTCTCAGTGATGCCAAAATTCTTTTAATATGGGGGAAAGTCTTTTATTCTACTATGTAAATCTGGACTCTAAACCTTAAACCCTAGGGGCTCCAGTAACAAGACATTTCATCTCTCAGCTCTAGGCATTCTCTCTGGTTAAATGGCCTCCTCCACTCCCACTCTGACTACTGACCTCCCAGGCTTCCTTTAAGTCCCAACTAAAATCTCACTTTCTACAGGAAGCTTTTCCCAGCCCCTCTTAATTCCAGTGCCTTACTTCTGTTAATTATTTCCTATTTACTCTGTATAAAACTTGCTTCGTATTTGTTTGTTTGCATGCTGTCTCCCACAGGCACAATGCCTAGCACACAGTAAGTTCTTAAGAAATGTAACTTGATTGATTGATAGGGGAAAGGTCATAGCCACTGACACCAGGGAGTTAAAGAGTTGATCACCCAGCCTTATGCAAGGAGAGAGAGAGAGAGAGAGAGAGAGAGAGAGAGAGAGAGAGAGAGAGGAGAGAGAGAGAGAGAGAGAGAGAGAGAGAGAGAGAGAGAGAGGAGGAGAGAGAGGGAGAGAGAGAGAGAAGAGAGAGGAGAGAGAGAGAGAGAGAAGAGAGAGAGAGAGAGAGAGAGAGAGAGGAGGAATAGGACAGCTTGAACAAATAGCCGGACTTTGGGTTGTTGAGATGGTGTAGGAAGAATCAACTCAAAGATGGGGAAACAATGCCCGAAGGGAAGACTGGAGGTCTGAAGACAAACTCCACAAGATTGCATAGGCTTCTCACTCCTACCCCCTTCCCAATTTAGAAACTCCTCCAGGCATCTGATGGCAGCTTCTGCCAAATTGCCCAGATTTTTGATTGATGGATGGGTGGGTGTCTCCTTGATTGACAAAGATTTGTGTTCCAAAGTAGAATTAAGAAAAGAGAAGAGCACTTTGTGATTCTACTTCATGGACCCAGTTTTAATATGTTGAGGTAAAGAAACCTCAGAAATCATCCAGAACAAGAAACAAGTCCAGATAAGAGAACCAACTTGCCCAAGGTCAAACATATCACTAGTTATTAATAGATTTTCAAAGTGCTTATACCTGTTACCTTATCCTCAAAACAATGCTGGAAAGAAGGGGCTATTATTATTATCTTCATTTTACAGATGAGGAAACTGAGGCAAGCAGCGGTTAAATGACTCGCCCAGGGTCACACAGCTAAGAAGTATCAAGCAAAATTTAAATACCTAAATCCATCTTCCCAACTCCTGGTCTGACACTCTATGCACTGCATTACCTACTTGCCACAAAGAATAAGAATGGTAACTTAGAGCAGGGCTTGAAACCCAGGTCCTCTGATGAACAATGGAGAGTCCTTATGCTACCCCAGGTTACCTCTCATTTGAAACAAACACTCAGTAGGGTTTTATGAGCCCATAAAAGGCTGACCACAAGAAATCCTCCAGATCTCAGAGGATTTTACTAATCCTCGAGGCCAAGAAGAAAAGAACCCTGGGTTTCAATCTCACTTCTGCTTACTTCCATGAACTTGGGGAAATTACTTCCTCTCTGGGCCTCATTTTCCCCACTTGTAAAATGAGAGGGTTAGGCTAGATGAGGCCAAAGCTCCCTTGAAGCCTGATCTCCTATAAAACATCCTATTGCAAGAAAAATGAGGATCTGGGGTCCCTCCCTGCTTAAGTGTTACTCAGCGCCTTCCTAGCCTTATCAGAGCTCCAAGGTGATTTGTAAGACCTGAGGTCCACCAGGAGTTTAAAAGTGCAGGAGTGCTGTGT